TGACGTTTTGCATTGCTTAATGTCACAACTCAGACTGCGTTTTTTGGTCTAAACATATGTTTTGGCATCGTCATTCGCTGAGGCCTTTTCCGCAAATGTTGGGCGCCATCTATCGGCAAGCAGGAGAGGCGTTTTTGATGGCCTGCCTTGCTTCCGGTTCTGCCCTCTCCAAGCTATGTTGGCCGTCTGAACGCGGTCGGGAAATGCGCTCACTGCTCAGCGTTTGTTTTCCCTCTATCCAATAGAATCGATGAGCAGATTTGTTTTGAATTAATGCGTTAACTACGGACGACGTCGTCCCTTTGTACATTTTTTTTTCCCGAAAGAATGGACGACTGACTTCGCCGTGGCGTCCGTTGTGACTGACAACACCGTTGAAGCTCTCTTCGGCCTATGAGAAAGTACAAACGGTTACATTAAACTAGGATTCATGTCATATGCATGTACCGGCAGTAAATTCAGAAAATATTCGAGACTAAGTTACAGTTAAGGAAAGCCTTTTTTCAATTGCAAGCTATTAGTTTAATTTGCTCGAAATTTTTAATTGGCAAGATGTATTCTCACAAATGTGAAAGCTTACCCTACACCGTCCGAAAAACGCCGGCGCCTGAACGTACCAACGTAATTCTCATCAAAGGTTTATTTTAGTGGTGTATTTCACCTTGTGAAATTTCAACATTTCCATTATAAAATGAGACCAACAAACTTGGCCAGGACGAGGACGGACTTGTTCAGCGACTATACTAAATGTCGTTTACGAGCGCCCCTGACCCTAGCGAGTTTGTTAGTCTCGTTTTTTGCTGGAAAAAAGCACCACTTTGAAATTTCACAAGGTAAAATTCACCGCTAAAATACATGTTTGATAAATATCTAAGATTGATACGTGCAGCCACCAATTTCTGGGCGAGCCTCGTCATCGATGTCACCCCACTTCAGGCTACAGCTGTGTGTGACTGTAAATCCTGAAGACAAAACACAAAATCGGCCACACTTTTTTTTCTTTATTTTTAGTTCCGCGCCTGTAGACAATGCTGCAAACTTATTTGGTTTTTCGATACATACACGAGGACAACATATCAAGGCTATTTTTTCCGCTTTCTTATTTAACCACAAGACCAGCAGGTCGTGGTAGCGATAAATCTGCTCCCATTTCACTTTCTGTGCGTGCACGTAGCAACAAACTGTGCAGCAAAGCCATTTTACCTCAATGCTTTATAAATATTTGAAAACTGTGGGTTATTCCAATGTTTACAACAGCCAGAAAGCAGACAGGCAGTTTGCGTAGCAACACGAGACCGTCACATTGGTAAACAAAAAAAGTGTGCCAGTGAAATGCAATATCCCAGAAACGCCAACTCCGAGGCGCTCGCTCTGCGTGGCACATAAGCGACACGACAGCATGCCTAACCAATCTGCTGACTTGTATTCACACACAAATAAAAGAAATAAAGGAATAAAAACATGAACCTTCCTTGAAGTGGCAACTGCAAACGCGGGAGTGCTTTGAAGGCTGCCTTTATGAACCGTCCGCATTGTTTCGCTGGATCGCCCGAATCCAGAGCTGCCGCTTCGTCGAGCGCAGTCTAGTAGAAGGAAACCCAAAGAAGCTTAAACCGCGACAACACTTGCTGTCGTTGCTGCAGCCAACAAAGAAACAGAGCTAGGGCCTGTCGGAGAGCTTCAAACCGCGCGACCACCGCTGCCTCCTGCAGCCCGAGCCGGACGTACCACGCCACCAAAAATGGCGGACTTCTGTCTGCTGCTGCCGCGCATGCGCCGTGAAAACCCCGGAAAAGGCCCATTGCAGTGATTTGCTCTCCGAGTGTTGTGCGGGAAAGTAGACGCACGGGCTTTCTTTAGAGTGATGGAATGCCTGGGGAGAGGGTTCGGTGCTGTCCCGGTGTTCTGCGCCTCCACCGCGCCCACTCCCTCCTCTCTTGTCCCCTCTGTCACGTGACCCGCGGCAGCGCGCGAGTTACACGCTTATAAGCATCGAGATCCGGAAGGGCGCGCCTGGCCGCCGCTTTTTTCTTTGTCTGCTTGTTGTCAGTTGCAGTTCGAAATTCGCTCGTCCTACCTGCTTCGATCTGTCGCCTAAAGCGCCGTTCACACTCTTGCGACCGAGTAAGACCGAGAGAGACCAGACCGGTTTTTAAGCCTCTTGCGACTTCTTAGAATCAGCTCCGAAAGCCGGTCTCGTCTCTCTCAGTCGTACTCGGTTGCAAGAATGTGAACGGGCCTTAACCCTGCGGTTTTATTAGGATGTCTCTAGACAACGTATTGGATGTGCACCAAAGCTATCAGTGTGGAATAAAAGGAAGATCGATCACAACAAATATTCACACCGCTCGAAGTGTACCAGAATGCTGTGACGCAACGAATGATAAAATTGCAATGCTCCAGATTGACTTGGAAAAAGCATTCGATCGTGGATCACATGAGGTTTTGATGGCGATAATGGAACATGTAAACGTAGGCTCCGTAATTATAGAGGGTGTTCGTACGGCGTACGAGGGATGCACGACAAGCCTGATTGTGAACAAGTCAGTTGGTAAACGCATTGGTGTCCTCCGGTCCGTGCGACAGGGTTGCCCTCTGTCCCCGCTTTTATTTTGCATTTACATAGAGTCTTTCTGCTTGAGCGTAGTTAAAAGCAGCGTCATTCGTGGCTTTAAGCTACATGCTTCCGAGGTGCGAGTACTGGCCTACGCAGACGATATCGCGTTGTTCTGTGCAAACAGAGAAAGCGTACGAGAGGCGATAGCATTAGTAAAACCTTTTTGCAATAGAAGTGGTAGTGCCGTCAACTGGGAAAAGTGCATATATGTTTTTGGCATGGGGAGTGGGACGTGAAGCCCAGTGTGTTTGAAAACGTCAAATGGGTCTCGTCTCCGGTAAAGTATCTAGGGGTCCCCCTGGAAAGCTATCGGGACAGCGACCCTTTTTGGAGGACCCAGGTACTCGAACTGCCAGGAGAAGCTGAGAAGTGGAGAGGAAAGGATATCTCGGTATTTACCCCATCCACTGTTTGCAATGCGTTCATAAGTAAACTGTGGTATGTGCTTCAGGTTTTACACTGTTCCAAGGTGAATATCCAAAAAATTCATCGGGTGTTTGCGGTCTTCATTTGGGGCTCTTTTTATGAGCGCACGAGCCGGACTAGTCTTTTTCGCAGTGTGAGTGATGGAGGCCTGGCGCTATCTCATTTGTTTTTGAAGCAGCTGGTAAATCGTTTCTTTTTCTTACGTAAAGTCAAGGACCCGTTTTTGAGCACAGTTTGTCGAGTGCAATTGTGTAATGTTCTGCCTGAGTACATAGTATCGTCAGAGTATGGAAATGGTGGGTGTATCTTCGGTTATATGCGCGAAGTGGTGGGAGCGTACAAATTCTTAAGAGCACGCTTTTCGTTGGAATATCTGAGTGGTCACTAGGAAAAAGCTGTACCAGGATCTTGTTGAGGTTACCCTGCCGGTTCCACTGTATAGAGCTCTGTATTCTACAGGTTCAGGGCAGGATGTGTTGGAACGTGTAAAGAGAATGTCCGTCCCAGCGTGCATCAAAACTTTCTTTTTTTAAGTTGCACACCGGTACTCTGCCTGTTAAAACGTGGATGGTGGAGAGGGGTATGTCTGTCGCGTGGGGTGATCACCGTTTTTTGTGTAAGAAACCTGACTCAGTTGAGCATGTCTTTTTGGACTGTTGGGACGCTATATTTCTCTGGGATGTGTTGCAGCGTACTCTAAGAAAGGAGTTTCCCCTAGATTCCCATGGCATACGGTTCCTAGCAGTCGAAAACGAGAATTGTGTGCCTTTCCATCTTTTCATGTTGCTCGGCCTTCACAGCATATGGAGATGTCGCATGGCGGTTCGCCCTGCAGAATTTGACACGAGGGCTGTGGGGGAATATTTTTCCGAGTCTGTTCGTTATATTGTCGAAGTTTGGAAGGTTCGATCAAATGTCCCGGAGTGGTTACCAACAATGGAAAACTGTTAAATGTAAATTTTTTTTTAACCACGCCTCGTCAGTCAATAAGCGATTGACGGCATTTTTAGAGCACTGTGCTTTTTGGTTGCGCTATGTCAATGCCGGCAATAAAGAAAAAAAAAAAAGGAGGAAGTGGCCGAGTGGGCTAACGCGTCTCAGCTCGGAGCGTGGAGCGAAAGCTTGCGCTGGGAACCTCGGGTTCGATTCCCCACCGCCCCCGCCCGTTTCGATCTGGATGAGTTCCGTACCGGCACGCGTTCGTGTAATCACTACTGCGTGATGCACGTTAAAAATCCCAGGTTAGCGGTTAGTACAACCGCTAACCTGGGATTTTTAACGTGCATCACTGGCTAAATTTCTCATCTAGAGCTAAGAGGCCGATTACCCGTCGTAGTGTATCTCCATCAAGGCTGTATAAACATACAGAGCAAACCAATTTACCTCGAGTGTTGTGATCGGGTTAGTGTGCCGTTGTATTGATGTTTGCAGGTGCCATGCATGTATATGCCCTCAATGTATGTTCACCTGATGCTTGTAGTATGCGTATCGTGACTACATGTGTGTGTAATAGAGTTTCCCGAAGATCTCGGAGCGCAATGGTGGCGTGAGGAAATAATACATATTTTTCGTAGAACATGAATTGGGCGGTACCTAGCGCCACCTAGCCTAGGTACTTGCAATTACTCTGCTTGACCCTGCCATCTGGTGGCAAGCTATTTAACATTCTTTCTTGCTACGCGATAAACAGCGGCTTCGAATTTGTTCTTTTGATAGCAGCTTTTGGTTTCGCGGATTGGTCTGCCGTTCATCCGTGATGTGCGGTTAACGAAGGAATTTTGACTCGAACAATAGCAAAGGTAAGACGTAAAGTGCGCGAAGTAACTGGGTATCGGTGGTCTCCGTTTAACATCGCAGTGCTGACGACGAGAAGACTGAGTAACTGCTTTTGAAACGCAAGTTTCTCCACCCGCGGGGGAATCTGGCTTTGGAAATAAACACAGTTCGCGGAAAGCTCGTGTTACACTTTTATTTGCTGCTCCTATCGTCCCGTACAAGAGACGTAGCGTCCTCGTTAAGCCTTATTGAGCTCCATTTGCTCGATTTGGGGCCGCCACAATGACATGCAGGCGACGGAGGAACTTTGCTCCCCTGCTTCAGGGACGAAACTTTCTCCCTTTCTAAGGGAACATAGGTTACAAGACCGTTCCTCCCCCTTAGAGAGGACTATTGACACTCTTTTCTCCAAGAGTATAGTGTGCTCCGCCGTGGAAGTGCGTTGGAGTGCGGGGAGTGAAGGACAGGATGACGACGGATGGGATAGTCATCGTCGCGGTCTTCTTTAGCTTCTGCGGCAGGGAACCGAAATCTGGGGGTTGGCCTCCTGCGAAGGGTAGCATTTCATGGCTGAGCACCTTACTTGGCCGGGGTGTCTTCGGAGGGGTACGTGTCACGGGAATATATAGAATGCGATGCCCCGCACCTCCGCCAAAATGTCACGAATGACAATTGTTGAGGCGACGAATGACCGAAGGAAACTAAACGTTCAAAGGGGCGAACTTGTGCCCAAAACAAAATAGACGAAGGCTATCGTCGCAGGCGTCGATGGCGGCGTAACAGCAGGGTCGAGCGCTGGGGCGAGACTGGCTCCGTACGGCGCGGCCCGGCTTTTTTTGAGCCTCCCTTGGAGCCTATAGACTATTCTTCCTCGATCGTTTTCAAACTATACATTTTAAACATGAACATGCTAGTCGGTTTTCGAAATTATCGAATCTTCTACTTACATCGAAAATTCCCAAGGACACCTAAGCACTTCTTATGAATTGTGAATGCGAAACCATCCCTGGCTCGCTGGTGACTGCTGCGCTGCTGGGTGAGGCAGCGCCGGGAGTGCGAAGCTCTGCGCGGCGCGTGCTGAAATCACGTGACCTCTCATTATCATTATCGCCCTAGCTGCGGCTACCGGTTGACGACGTTAGACCTCTAAGCGTAACGTTAGGCCTAATCAGACTTGTGCTCGTTACTTGAAAAATGTAATGGATCAGAATGACAAATTACCCAGCCTCAAATGTAATGAATTACCGTTGCAAATTACTTTCGCTGAAAAGTAACGGATTACCTTACACGTTACGTTACAAATTACTTTCACGTTATTTTTTCCGTACACTTATCCAGAAAAAACAATAGAAACAATTTTCATATTTTTCAAAAATGTTCGGCAACACTGCTTTTCATTTCTCAAACGCCCGTATTATGGTATTCCCTGTAAAAATAAAATATTGTATTTAAGAGAAATAACGTAGGTGCACTCCACTCCGTTCACGTGTAAGCCGACAAGAGAACGAAAGCTGCAATCACAAACGCCATCCCGCTAGCTTACGGCCTACGGAAATGATCCCTGGAATTCTGCAGACAAAGCTAGCGGTGCGCATGCTCAGTAGCAGCGTCTACCTCCGCTACGAGATTGGGAGCTAAAGAAACGATCTACAAAAGCTCCCTTTTGACTCGGGTGTTTCGCCTGTTATTTAGAAGAAAAGAAAAACTTGGTTCTAACGTTAAAATGTATAGCCAATGCAGACCTAGCTATCCGTCTGCATGCACTAGACCCGACCACCATTACAACACTCGAAATGACAAGTATATACTCCCCAAAATCAGGACAAACATGGGCAGACAAACGCTCTCATTTCAAATTCCAAACTTCCTTAATACACACAGTTATCTTCATACACTTATTACGTCAAATACAGGGTGATTCAAGGAGACGCCAGGCTCTTTAAATCAACCGCAAAATTCGGTTTCTTAACCTATCGCGCTACGACTTTGCGCAGCGTTGCCCACAGATGGTGCTTTTTGTAATATTTGCAAAGAGCGAACTTACTTGAGGAAAAAGTGAAGAAAGAAAAAGGCTTAGCTCCTATGGAAACGCAGCGACGCCACCGGTCTTCAAACAACACGGCGCCGTTTCGCACGGGGGACAAGAGATGGCGCAACGAACTCCGCCAACGAACGAGCATACGGCGCCGAGAGCCAGCGTCTTTAGCAGACGAACTTTTCGACTCAAAAGCGGCGCGCGTTCCGCAGGTGGCGACAGTCGCAGCAACAAAAACAGGCGCGGTAACAACAAGGAACTGCAGTTTCTTGTCTGCTAAAGACGCCGGCTCTCAGCGTCGTATGCTCGTTCGTTGGCGGCAGTTGGCGTCGCGACCGCTTGCGCCATCTCTTGTCTCCCGCGCAAAACGGTGCCGTGTTGTTTGAAGACCGGTGGCGTCGCTGCGTTTCCATAGGAGCTAAGCCTTTTTCTTTCTTCACTTTTTCCTCAAGTAAGTTCGCTCTTTGCAAATATTACAAAAAAAAAAAAGCACCATCTGTGGGCAACGTTGCACAAAGTCGTAGCGTGATCGGTTAAGAAACCGAATTTTCCGGTCGATTTAAAGAGCGCCGTCTCCTTGAATCACCCTGTATATCGCTAAACAAATACAAAAGCATAGTGAAAGAAACTCTCTTGCCCACAAATGTTGCAAACTGATCTGAAATATCTGGTTTTATCTTCTTTGCTATCTCTGTTTTTTTTTTTTGTAGGTTTTTTGTGTTATGGTTGTATAGCATAGTTTCATAGTATCAAAAATGTGCACTATCTAAATGTCATAGATATGTATATTTTGTTATTCATTACATTTTATTTAATAGCGCTTCTTGTTTTAGTGTGCACTGCTGTCGACGAGTGTCATTGTCTTTTTAATATTTCATTTATGTAGCGGTACCAAGGCCTCGTCAGACCTTCAGGGCCCGTTTTCTCGAACGCGAACCGTGGTTTAAAGTTAACTATTGTCCCTAGAAGGGGGAATTCCAGGTCACGTGACTGGGAGAGCAGGGGCGCCGAGGGAGGAGCAGTACCTAGAAACAAAATGGCCGCGGCGTCGCTTAATGAGGGCTATAAGTTCTGCTTGGTTCTGCTGAACATTAATTTCGATCTGGCTGTTATATTAGTGACTCACCATCAACCTATGAGTACGTCAAGCAAAGCGATAGTTCAGAGGGACTACTAAACTAACCGACGGCAGCATTCCGCGAACGCATCACTCTTCAGCAGTCCGGGATCCAAGACATATGACGGTACATAAGCCTTGCAAGTGTTTTTATGGTGAATAAAAAAAAAAAATGTTTTGCGAACGAGTGTTGGTACTATCGGGGAAAAATGAAATGCGAACAGAGGAGCTCGTGGCTCGCGGTACAGGCTGCGCCGCCTGGAAGTGAACCTAGGGGCGAGGGTGCGTGGCCTACTTCGATGTGTTCACGCCCCTCGATTGGCGCTCCCCCAGCTTCGGCAGTGCGCCTCTTAGTGCGCTGAAAGCTGTCACCGCTATCTTGGCCTGCCCGGCAAGTGCGGCGAGCTCCTTTGCACCGCACGCGCTGAGCCAGCAAAAATAGCGGTGATAGCTTTCAGCGCACTAAGAGGCGCACTGCTGAAGCTTGGGGAGCGCCGAGGGAGGGGCGTGAACACGTCGGAGTAGGCCACGCACCCTCGCTCCTAGGCTCACTTCCAGGTGGCGCAGCCTGTACCGTGAGCCACGCGCTCCTCTGTTCGCATTTCATTTTTCCCCGATAGTACATATTTATACTAAGACGTTTAATTTGTTAGACTATGCACGCCAACTCGTGAGCAGCGATTACTTTGCGGAGAAAGGGGGTTATCCTCAATAAAGTCTTCGTTCCAAATGAACAGCTGAGACATTGTACTGTTTTTTTGTTTACAGTGCGCCGACAGTATGCCGACAGCATTGAGGTTTCTACATATCCCCGGTGGCCAGCAATTCAACGGTGACGAGAAGCTTAGCTTCTCGTCACCGGTGAAACGGTTGGGCAAACGGCAATGTCTTGCAAAAGTAATTGTAATTGTGCCTGAAATTTTGGAATAACTGACGTTGGGAAGTAATTAAATTACAATGAACCCGCGAATCGAGTGGGTACGGACCCGCGTTTGATGTCTGTGCAGGTGGCGGGAGACGCCGAAGAGGTTAGAGAGGGTGAAACGGTGTAAAATACAAAGACCAATAAACACGAAGAGCTTTCTCCTGCCCGGGAGAAGAAAAACACGATGGAAAGCGACGGAGAGTCTACTCGGCGTTGTCTTACTTGATTTTTGTCTTTCGTATAGATGCCTTGTCCGTTTTTCTAGTGGCTCTAGTGACCGGTCATAGAAAAAATCGTGTTTTCTTTTCGGCTATTCTCCCCTTCCTGGTGTTTTCTATTTTGTTGAACTTTCTCACTTTATGATGCTGAATGTCCTGCTCGTATTGCTCCAGTTACTGTATTATTTATTTATTTATTTACAAAATGCTCATATTAAAAAAAAGAAAAAAACGTAACGAATACTTAAAGTAATCGGTTACCAATATTTTGTAGCGAAATTGAATTACAAATTACTTCCGAAAAAAAGTAACGTGGCAATTGCAAAATTACTTTAAAAAGTAACGGATTCCAAGTAATCCGTTATTCGTAACGGATTACTTTCTAAGTCTGGGCCTAATATCAGGAAAGCGCATACCCGCGTCCCCCCAGTTCCTCGATATGCTCCCCCAAAAGGAGAGCAGAGTTGCGCATTTGTTTTCCCCTCGCCGCCACGCCGCTATTCGCCGAGATCGATCACGTGAGGAGCAGAGCATCCATCCCCTTGCAGGAAAGCCACCGCTACGGTCGCTCCGCCGACGATACACGCGCTCCCACGTATGTTCCCCCGCTTTCGCCTCCTTCTCCTCCTTTTCTGTTTTCCATGCGCGACGGCTCCCGCTACGCCGCTATTCGCCGAATTCGGTCACGTGACGAGCAAAGCATCCAGGGCCGAGCAGGAAAGCCGGCGCTACGGCCACCCGCCGAGGCTGAATGCGCAACTCTGCTACCGTATGTAGCTACATACAGGAACTCTATTCCCTCCCCCCCCCCCCTCCCCTGTCCCGCTGCGCCACCAGCAGTTCGGCTGGCCCCTTAACAATTATGACGCCGTTGCTATGGAGCCACATGACGCGTCGCACCCAATGAGAATTTAAAGGGATACTACAACGAAATTTCGGCGCTCATTTTTTAGTCTATATGTGTTCAAAAGAGCAGTATCACATGGAACATACCAATATCTTGTTAAAAAAGTCTCGCAAAGGAATTTTAAAACGAATTAAACGATTAGCAAAGAGCACCTGGTGGATGTCGATAACGCCTCGTTTGTAATGCTCGTCCAGGAACCTTGACAGCTAGTGACGGAGGTTGTCTCGCCTCCGGCCACGACGAGAGAAGGGGGGAAGGAGGAACTCCCCTCTTCCCGAGAATCCCTTTTGTGTGTCGCAGAAGTCGCTATTGTCCCCCTAGAAGATTATAGAAGATTAACCCGTCGCTCAAAATTTATACAAAAGCAGCCGCTTCGGTAACTGGAACGACTAGGCCATCCTCTCGACGTCAGCCTCGCCGTAGCTTTGCTCGTCTTGAGACGACCTACGTCACAATTGCGTTGGATGTCACGTGCTCTAAGCTGGGCCTTCTCCGAGCGCTTGCCAGAGTGGGCCGTTTATAACGAAAAATACAGCCACCAGGATCAAAATACAAACCTGCGATTGTCATTTACGGATATTGTGGATCATATTCAACCTATTTTTGAACACGACGGGAATATTTCAAATTTCGTTGAAGTATCCCTTTAAGTTTCGTTTCGTTCAGGAGAATTCGGGTGCCGTTTATCACTGCTACAGACAACGATAACGCCAGCTTCAAGCTCAGATAACGCCGGATCGTTCCATGAGCGATTTAAAGGCTCGTCCACACTTTTGTAACCGAGTACGACCGAGAGAGACAAGACAGGTTTTTCAGCCTCTTCCGACGTCCTAGGGCCGGATGCGATGCTGCGGAGCTGGTCCTGAGACGTCGTAAGTGGCTTAAACTCGGTATTGTCTCTCTCGGTCGTACTCGGTTACAAGTGTGTGAACGAGCCTTAATGCTTTCGCGTTAAAAAAGATAAAAACGGCAGGCGGTGGCGCGTTTCGAACCCCGCCGTCTGCGTCTGAGCAAAACGCGCTGCCTCCTTGGCTAACTTTTTCTTGTGCGTGGCTAAACTTTTTTTTTTTTTTTTTGCGGTTGCATTAAATTGTTAATGGAGCGATCCATTAACAATTAGCAGCGATAAGCGGCATCTAAATTCGCCTGAGCGAAACGGGAGTTAAATTCCCATTGACTACGATGCGTCGTGTGGCTGGCTTTTTGGCAGCGATGACACCGTTGCTATGGAGCCAGCCGAACTGCTGGCGGCGCACCGGGAGGGCGGGACGCGGGTATGCGCTGGCCTGACGTTAGGCCTAACGTTAGGCCTATCGTTACGCTTTGAGGTCTAACGTCGTCAACCGGTACCCGCAGCTAGGGCGATGATAATGATGATGAGAGGACGCGTGATTTCAGCACGCGCCGCACCTCGCACTCCCACCGCTGCCTCACCATTCGGCGCAGCAGTCACCAGTGAGCCAGGGATGCTTTCGCATTCACAACTCATAAGAAGTGCTTAGGTGTCTTCGGAATTTTTATTGCTATCATTTTACAGTGAACTGTAAAATATCAAGGGGCCTTAGGCCGTCCGTGTTTCTTGCATCTGGTACAACTCTCCTTGACTTCTTGCCAACGAGGTCGGCATTCCACGATCCATTTTGGTTTCTTAGACGAAAATAAGAGTAATGGCAGATCGTCCCCTTTGATGGTGTCGGCTTTAGGATGCGACGACTCGAAGATTCCACCGTGCTTTTTGCGCACACCATCCAAATTGTTCAGGTGATGGTAAGTGCAGTCACGGCACTCATTGGCCACGAAGGCGTATCCGAATATTCGTCGACGGATTGATTGTTGATGAGTGCATACGTCCGAGTAACGAAGTGTTCGTGTTCAATATGTAAGCTGGATTCCGCTGACGTGCTTTGGTACGGCGGAAGCAACATAGTGAGAACGCGGAGAGGTTCTCGAAAGGGAGGAAGTAAGATATAGTCCGTAATATTTTCAAAATTTATAGACGTTTTGCAGAAGCTGTGCATGGGCCTTGCCAAAACCGACTTTCAGTTTTTTGTTTTCTCTCTTATTCTGTGTACTTCGCTTCAGCATTACCACAGCAGGAGAGGTTATTGCCATTCTAGATTCTCCTTTGTCCTTCTCCCCAGCATATGCCTTTGTGGAGGCTCGTCAATGCCCGCTTCAGTGGCTCGGAATCTCGGTAAGACAAGAGAAGGTCAGCAATGGCGGCTCTTATCTGGCGCGTGTGCAAAGCTTTTTTTCTCTAGCTTCGTGTACTGTTTTTCTTTGGCCCACTAAACGATAGGCGATTAGTAAAATCCAAATCTAAACGCATTCATCGCAGCCCAAAATTAATTTCATATTGCCCCTTGAAAGGAGCCGTGCAGCCATATTGGGTAGGAATGCTTCTCACTTTACACAAGCTTACTGGTACTAGTGGGACCAAGTACACTAGCACGCAGCACCACTGACCAAGAAGCTTTTTTGTCACCGTGTGAAGTCAAGGATAAAAGCGGACGTTTTCTTTCAGTCTCTCCTTCGCAAAACTTCATGACAAAATTGTGGGGATCGCATTGTTTCCGTTGCCAACAACAGTAACCTCAGGATTTCGTCATAAGCTCTGAAATCCCCGCGGTGACAATATTTAAATGTGGCTGATACAATGGACACCAGCGCTACGTAAGCATTCGACTGGAGCTCGTAAGAATCAATGCCTCGACATGCGTTCGGGTTAGTGGCTCGTGCCCAATCGCTGCGATGATGGGGACTAGTTTTGGAACTTTCTATTGCACCTTGTATATCCAGGAAGAGCGAAATCTAGGGGGATTGTTTCACAACTTCCCGTTCGTTCGCACACCATTTTATCACTCGAAGACAACAACAAAGATATGCAGGAATAATCAGGCATGAGCTTGAAATGTTGGCTGGCACTTCATTTACATTTGCACGTAATTACATCGTATTTATGAATCCCGAGCACATATTTGGCAGCCATCAATAAACAAGGCAGATGTAATGAAGCAAATCTTTTCAATAGACCGTTTTTGTGTTGCGGCTGCCATGTTGAAATATGACGTAGTTGGGTTGGGTGACAAAAAGTAAATAATTTAGGCATGACTACAATAAAAAAGTATAACGAAGAAAAAAAGTAGAGCTATTTGCATGTACCCTTTAAATTTTAGTGCCTTCCGACCGACAAATAAAGTGATTTGCTGTTTTGCCCCAACTCAGCTACGTCAAAATTCAATATGGCGGCCGCCACGAAAAAACGGCCCATAGGTGCCGAACCCTGGAATGATCATCGATATCTATCCGCTGTTCGACACCTGTCAGCAACGTTTAATTGCAGCACAAGTAAAGCCGAAAAAACAATCAGGTGGCGTCTTTTCTTGTTTTGGAGGCTACTCTTTATGGCAAATTCCGCACATTTCCCGTCGTGAGACTGGTTCCGAAGAACTTTGGAACGCCACCAATCATGCCAAAGTTTTTCCTTGACCAATCTAGACAGGAACAATCGTTCTCACTGATGACGCGTAAGTTGCGATGATAGTCTCAATGTCACACAAGCCAGCATTGATGTCACCAGAAGTGATGAGCCGAAGATGCAAGCACTGTCGTGCTTGGGCGTCATCGGTGCATCCGTGGAGTCACTGTCGTACTTGGGCCTCATCGGGTCACCCGGGGTGTCGGTCTTGGACGCTATCGGTTCATCCGGGGTGCCTGGGTCCTTCACCAAAATCTTCCAGCCGAGGTAATAGTGGGTGAAGCACTGAAACCGAGTGGGGCAATGTGTACGAGAAGACCGAAACGTTTCACCGGCCCCCTTCACAACAAAAGGGAACATGTGAGCAAACGTTTGTGCAAAGCTTTGGAAACTGAAGTCTCTTCCTCGCGGAAAACCCGGTGGTTTTCTCACCGCTGCATACTGCTTCTTTGCGTTCGCTTTATGATTTTGGATCTAGAAATAACTTTTGTCGACTCAAGAAGTTTCTCTAGAGGCCCCAAAACGTTCCCTCACTCTTCGAATTTTATAAAACAAACATATTTCCCTTCAGCTAGGAGGCTCTAGAGAGATATATAAGATTAAGCGATAAACCGACTGAAGGACTAAGAGGGTACAGTACTCCTCTAAGGGATGCTTTTGAAGGAGAGAATGACTAATTTTTACTGGAGATGGGATAGATATGGCGCTTTCTACCTGATGCCAGGTCATCCGTTAGTGTTGGTTGTGGCTCATTGAAGATTCATTGAAGGAACCAGTGCTCCTAATATTAAGCCCTATAAATACCCTTTATTCTCATGCAGTTCGTAGTGAGACCTCCCTTTTTCCGATGATCATCGGAGAGACTCAGAAAGCTCGTCCGGTGATCGTTGGACGATCTGTTCATGAAAAGGGTTTCGTGTTTTCGGTAAATTCAGACGAACCCGTGAAATTAATTCTCGAGCCTATTTTCGCAATATCGAAGAAAACAGAAAAAGCCCGAATCGTGGCTGTGCTTGAACAACACAAACCCAAGTTCCACGGAAATCAATCTCTAGCTTCAGCTTTATTTTGTGTTGATCCGAAACGCAGCTCCCACTGTACTGTATGCGGAACTGCACCTTTCTTTGGGAACCAGGCCCCTTGTCCCGTTTATCGGTGGTACGGAACGTTTATCAAGTATTCGTGTCACGCATATGCTCCCTGCAGATTGGGGGATCCCATGTCCGCGTCCTCTTGTCTTCAACAAACGCAGCAATAAACTTTACCGACGTTTCTATTGTACACCATATTTGGGGAGGAAAATAAACCTCGAAAGAACAGGCCCGAATTCGAAGAAAAATATACCCCGAAAACGCGGAACCCTATATTCATGAAGTGCGATAGTGTTTCCAAAGGTAGCATCATATCGACAGTATCCAATAAAACGAACACCTCAAGCATTTCAAACTACTGCGCAGTAAAGGTGCACCCTTAGAAATGATGCTGACATTGCCCAGAAGGTGGCGTGGCGTGCTTAATGTGACTAGAGTAACTGTATGTTCCGCTTATCGAGCAGATTATCGCAACGGTCTTAAATTTTGACCTTCAAGTATTGCGGGAAGCGACCGTCGCTCTTGCAGGAGACGCGGCGTGCGCCACGACATGGAGCGGCCATTCAGCGCACATTGGTCGCCGTGCGTCTCCCGGGCCCACCGGAAGCACGCGCGCACTACGTCGTCGTCGTTGATGCGTCGTCTGTTTGTGTAGGGCCGCTTTGAAACTGCACTCGGATTATAAAATTAACACAATTAAGCATATCTAGGTGTTAAACACCCAAGATTCGAAGGCACAAGAAGCTTCCTGCTCGTCATACTTTGGTGCAAGATCTACATTTCGCGAACGCAGAGCGACAAATACTGGACAACCTTTACTTTTCGCGAATCGGTCACAGGGGACATAATCGCGGCCACTAAATTTTTCGAATTCCAGACACGTGCATTGAAACTCTCAAGGATCGAAATTTTCGCGTGCCCTTAAATTTCGCGAAAATTAAGGGCTCGCGAACATTTAGGGTTTTTTCAGTATGTTTCTCCCCAAACCCGGTGCTCCTCAAGGCCACTTCCCCTTAAGCGCTTTGGGCATATTTGGCGCATCTGACCACTTCTCGACTATGAGAAACTGGCGGCAAAAGGAAAAGAAAGGTGATACTCTGGCTCAGCCATTTAGTTAGTTCAAATCGGATGGGCAGCATACGAAAAATGGTGGCGCCCTGAGCGGTTTGCACCACTGAGGAGCAGCGAGCAGTTATTATATTTGTGTGGTTGGAGGGCTTGAAACATATTGGGGAGTTCATAGAATAATGCTGCAACAGTATGGAGATGCCTGCATCAGAGAGAGAGAGAGAGAGAGAGAAAGAGAGAAGAGTGTACAACTGGGTCAACGCGTTTAAAAAAGGGCAACCAACAATCCGTTATCAGAAACCCTCTGACCGTGCTGGAACGATCGGAGTGTTGTTGATTACTGATCACGGGTTGATGTTCGCTCATTTTTACACGCTTCGACCCACTCGTGCGGGCTCTTCTCTCTCTAATGCAGGCATCTCCATACTACTGTAGCATCCTTCTCTGAACTTTGTGAGGTTTCACGCCCTTCAACCAGAAAACTCTGATGACTCCTCGCTGCTCGTCAACAGTGCAAACAGTCAAGAGTGCCGTCATGTTGTACATGCTGTCCTTCCCGATAATTAAGCCCGTCATGCCACCTGTTGGGGAATATCAACATCTTCTTTAAGAATGTATCCTTCTTGCGTGGGAGTTCAAGTTTCTTTCATAGACTCCTGCCAGTTTGATTATACTTTTTAAACACCCTCGTATACTGTTTGACGAGTTTTATTCTTGTTTTGTGTTTTATTTGTGCGCATAAAAGAGAAACGAGCATTCAGCGAAGAGAAACGAGACCACTAACCTGGTAGTAAACAATGTCCGGGGTCTTTTCATCGGGCGTCCAAGTAAACATCCCTGACTTCACGTTGGGCTCACATTTCAATTCCAGCGTTTTCTTGAACTCCTCAAACGTTTTGACGTTGTTGCTTTGATCAATGGACTTGTGCTCCCATTCGCAGTAACGCCCGACAGCTGAAAGAAAGAAGTGGATAATTAGGGAGATTTTTCTGGACGACCTCGCAATAATTATGCAGTTCAGTGGATGGTGCACCTTGGGAACAAAACAAATTTATATAGAAAGAAGCAACGACATAGACACAGAAAAAAAAAAGCCAGATGTTTGAAAATACCATGATGTCCGGGGTTACTGCTTTTTTAAACAATCATTTTTAATTGTAATAGTTCTGTATTATTGTATTTCAAACGTATGTAACAATGGAACTAATATCAGTGACTGAAAAGATGCATGATGAGTTAAGGTCCTAAGAAAGAGGAAGTTTAAGCCGTGAGATTAGGTGCTGCGAAAAACAAAGAAATGACTTCATTGCAAGAATTATTATTTTTTCGTCGATCTGCCAGATATCCTTTTTAAAATTTTATTATTCTAAGTTGAAGGAAGGCAGAGGATATGCCAAACACAAATAACTCGTGTGAATACGTCGTCTGCCCTCAACTCGTGATATTTATTCAGCACGCTCTACTTATACTTTCAAAGTGTTTTGTACATTAGGAACAGGCAAATAACAGCTCTTTGGATACTTTATTGTGCATTTTGGCAACACTGTCGAAAACCAGAGAGGAGCATAGTCCTCCACGCTCCTCAGGACTATAGTTGAGAGTGGCCACTGATCAGATGATCGCAGCGACCGGACACGCTCGCCTCATGGTCGGCAGCGTTGGAAACGTTCGGCGCGCTTGCCTGGTTTAGAGTGCCGCGTTATTTTGTCATAATATAATCCTGACTATGACGGACACAGGTACTGCATCACTTGTCCTGCTCTCAAGCTTGTCGTACGGCAAATGCCGTACGACCAGATAAATATTTTTTCCCGAATTACAAGAAATTGCGTTACTTATTTTCCCCCTAAAGTGGTCATGACTCGTCATAAAAGTAGTATTCGTACACTTGTTCTCGAACCGGTTTTTCGACACGTAAATTCCATAGGTCACAATGAAGTTTCTTATTTTAGTCTTATTATACTTCAAGGTGGCTTTAAAGCAAACATAGATCGAAAAAATAAGAAATCCCAGTTTATTTGTCAATGTAATATCCCAGAACCGAGGGTCTTAGCCTCGATTTCCTAGTTAAACTAAAGGTTTATCAAGGTATGTTATATATCTTATAGTTCGTACTATTGCCAAATCTATCCATGATCCACTTTGTGAATGTATATATTTTTGTGTAGATACTTTGAATGTCATTTGCACTATGTTTTGTTTCGCCACCTGCCGAGCCAGGTACACAAGGCCGTGAGCCATAAGCCGGCTCGTTATTATATTTTCTAAAACTTGTGAGTTCTAAAAAGAGCTATTCTATTCTACTTTTACAAGAACGTTACAACCTATTTTTATAATTAATTTATCTTTTAATCAATGCTCCAATTTTTTTTTCTCGCTTGGTTCTTTAATATGACACGAGCGAACTTTTGAATGTTTGGCATATTAATTATGCCTTGGTAGAATGTACTCTTGACTTTACGCCAACTACATGTGCCGAAACTGGTTTTGCAAAATAAATGCGTTATTCTTTGAATTTAACTTTGCAATAGAATTTACTACCTCTTTAATCGTCTTGTATCTGACCAGTAAGCAATATTTATTCGGTACTCTGGTCACTTTGTAAGCACTTTCATTGAAACTTTCTACGACGTTTTTACGTACTGAAACAAAACGAAGATCCCTAGTTTTTAACGAACCAAAGAAAGATCTACCATGCCTGAAGCGTTTTTTTTTTAATTTCTTTTTGCGCTTTTGTCTCCACGATATACCACTCAAAGGCTAAAGGTTTTTTGTGTGTGTTCATGTTACTCGCAGGTGCTTGTCTTTTTATGCAGGTCTAGATCAAGCCTTTTCTGTATGTATCATGAGCCATTATGGCCGCTTCGAGTGTTTGAAAGGATTCAAGATCGATGTCTAGTTGTGCACTCATCCTCAGTCTCGGGCACCACGACGACAATAGATAAAAAAATATGTAGAAGAACAATTAGCTTAGAATGTATATTGCGTTATATACAGAATGTTTAATTTGATTTCGAACAGATTATTTTTTAAATGGGTGAGAGTGAAACGAGGGCCGTCTTTCCCATGTATTTTCAATATAACCTCGTTACAACCGATTTGAGGCCCTAATCTTCACGGCGCTACGGGACCAAGGGACCGGGACATGGACGTCTGCTACGATTGGTCAGCGGTGCGGAGCTGGCCAATCGCAGCCAGGCGACGATGCCCCGGTCTCTTGGGCCCGCTTGGTCCCGTCGTGGAGATTAGAGCCCCTAGTTACAACAGACATTCGGTTATAACATACCGGTTTGTGAAGTTTGGCTGGTCTTCCTATCTATGCCATGATCTGACTTCGCTTATTACAGCTTCTGTTATAGCCTACATTTGGATAAAATGGACCATACTAGTGAGTCTGTAAGTAGCTCGCAATTCCATTACAGCGAACTCTTTGACGACAGTCATCACATTTAGAACATTACACGGCTTTGGTTCATTTGCGGTGGCATCCATTTTGCGTGCTGCTGCCATCGCGCTCGGGCGCTCGGCGCCTCGGACTCACGTACGACCTAGTGTGCCTAGGTTTCAGAGTGCTTCCAACTACTCAACTGGGGCACGTGTTTTGTGCGCCGCACAAAACGGCCGACCCCGATCGATGATGAAAGAGTTGGTCGTTTGCAAGCGTCTACGCCTTTCCACCCGTTTCAATCCACTCCCCATGAGAACGTATCGCGGGCGCACTTCCGACCAATTTGGCGAAAGGCGTCCGACAAATGCTGTTCAGGCTTTGAGGTGCTACCTCTCTTAAATCTAGGCCCTCCAGTATCACCCAAAAGCGCACCACAGTGACGATCATCATCATCATTGCGCGCAGGGCGCGCCTTCTAGCTAAGGTTGCGCAAAGCTGTTTCTATAGCATGCAGTGCCGTAAATTCGGCGGCGCCATCTCTCAGACTCGCGTATTTTCTGATTTCCTAACTCGCCGATCTGGTCTGCGTGTATCGAACGTGGGCCGATTCAAAGGTTGATCCTGTAATGACGAAATTCTACGAGCGGTATGGCTGGCACGGCTGGCGCCACTCCAGCGACGGCAAAGCGGAAGCAAATCTACTTAAAGGGTAAGAGAGATTGACTTCCACATTATTTTTTTTTTAATTCAGCGAAGGAGCAGGGGAAAAAAGACGGGTGTCGCAGGGGCTTTCGGACTCTCGAAACAAAAGTCAATATCGGCATAAAGAACAAAGAAACCATCACCGCCAAGGAAGTGACAGGTGATCATGCGACCGAAAAGGTGCCGACTCCGCGAGGCATACCATTCCCAAACGTCGAAGAGGCCCCGCTAATCTGGCTACGGGACTCCCGTCACCGAGACATCCCAGTAAATCATTTTCTTTTACCGAAAACGTAAACTATGCGGAGAGCAAGGCGTCTGCTTCTTGCCGAGGAGTTGTGGTGACATCAGAGCGACGCCGAGCTCTGGTTAGTTTTGATTGAAACGATAGTGAAAGGACCTGAATGCTAGATGCCATAAGGTCTACACTCCATTTTTTTTTTCATTCAGCCAATAAGAGCTTGGCGTTCTGACATCATCGCCACCCCTGTGCAGGAAGCAGACGGAGTTGCCTTCCGAATAGCTATTTTCTAATAGCCATTCCCATTTCGCTTGTCTCTCTGTTTAGAACAGACTCCAGTCATAAACCACGACGAACCCCGTAGTAACATTACCTGTGTTCTGCGTACTTCTACAGCAGATCAAAATCTTCATCATTATCAGGGTCTGTTAAAAGGAACTTATATTATCAGGTTCGGTGGACATTAAATGGATGGGATTATCGTCAGGGTAAGTTAACTAATTCACTATAACCCACGAATTAACTTTCCATTTATTGTTTTTTTTGGGGTCATGTTGCAGTTGTATTATTGACGGCTAGTGCTATTCCGGGCCAAATAAAAAATAAAAAGAAACAGATTGCAGAAAGGTAATGGTTATTCATATATGAATCGATCAATTTTCGAGTTTATTCCTCCGATTCAAAACTTGCGCTCAAGAAAAGCGCCGCAAGCCCTGCCCACAATAACGTTTGGAAGAGTAACGTAGTCGTCTCAATCATGCCGTCACTGTCTCCGCAGCGTCTCTTTGGTGGGGGCGCCGACAATACAAGTGACGACGCTATTCTGGGCAGGGCTAGCGGCGCTCGTCTTGCGCGAAAATTTTAACGTGAAACGTCCTTTGGCTAGGTGCTCAGCATTTTGTGAATACTTATATGCCTGGTCGCAAAGCTCGATGCTGATTAGATAAGAAAGGGGGGGGGGGGGGGGGTCACGTGACCATAGGGGTAGGCGAGGAGGCGCTCGACCACCTGTGCGCACTGTGGGAGAGGAGCTCGAGAGTATGGAAGGCTCCGGAAGATCGCCAGGTTTCTGAGCCCTGCATACGTGAAACTTAGAGTATTGCTAAGCGTCTGTGATACTAAAAAGTTTCACTATTCAACACTATTGCCTAGCAACTTGCCATGCATTGTTTTTTAATCGGGCAAATAAATGCAAAAATTGATCGATTATTTTCTAAAAAAAACATTACCTTTTTGAAGATTCTTTATATTGGTCTGGCCCCCCATAGTACTTGCCATTAATACTGCAGTTTCAACATAACCCATTAAAACCAATAACTGAAAAGTTATTTAACAGATCTTAGTTAATTAGTCAACTTGTCATGACGATTATCCCCTCGTCTAATGTCCACCGTGCCTGATAAATATACGGCGAAGCGGCACTCGTCTTTCACCTCCTTAAAAAATCTGTACGAATTAAAATTAAGCGCTTTGTAAAATGCGACATCACCGCGGTATGCTGGAAAAACACCTGGCACGTATACAAGCTATTTTGCCAGCAGATACAGACAACATTACATGATGTCGAACACTAACCGTTCGAGACGTCGGGCTTTCCGTCGGGACCCATTGTAACTCCAGCAAGTAGCAGATGACCCTGAAATAAAATTCGGAAAAATCTAAATTGTGATTTAAGGGGTCGGGAGGGTCTAAGCTGATTTAACTTGCCATCTTGAAGACAGCGAACCATTCGAACATGTTTAATTTTTATGAAAAAACAGTTAGGGCGCAGGCGAGCTGGTGTAAGTTTACCGTTTTTTACCACTTCAGACTGGGTGGAAGAAACACGACGACGTCTCAAACACAGCTAACAACTTTATTCAGTTCTCCCTCCTTTTATACATCCTGACCCAACACCGCCACCAAAAAACATTTCAAACAATGGCACCAATGGGACACGCCTTAACTTCGCAGCCACAAAGTTCTAAAAAAAAAAAAAATTACGAACCACTTTGAGTTATCAAACGGTAAACACACAACAAAACATCGGCCGAAGGGGACATTCTCGACCTCGCAGCTACTCTTAACTTTACAACAAACGAACAAGCGAACCGTGGGTCAAGGAGCGCAAACTCTGCTGTCAGTGGTTGTTTCGGCACGCTGAGGTCTTTAAAAATCGTTCCTCGAGCGGCCACTTACCGGTTTCCCAAGCGCCTCTGCGTCTTCCTTGGATCCTCCTCCCTTCCTGCTGTCCGTGATGTAAAACGGATGGTACCGCGCTGAGTTGGAGTCGTCATGGCCGCCCTCAGCTATGAAGGTGTACGTCTTTCCTCTCTCCACATGCAAAACCGGTATGAGCTCGTCGTTGATCCACCAGACGATTCCCCAACCTGGAGTGCCTACAGCGATAGAAGCGTCCGTTAGAAGAGGGATCTTTGAACCGGGCTGCCAGAAGCACAGCCCAAGTTCCTTCGAGACTCGGTCATTTGGAAGTGTTTTGAGCAGGAAGGCAAAACTCTTTCCTCTTTTTTTTTGCGTTTTTTAAAGGAAATGTTTTTGGGCTTTAGTCAAAGGGGAGTGGCCTAAGGATCCTTATGGTACAGGCATGGGGAAATGAGCATAGGGTTCAAGTCAGGAGGTTCAATAGGAAAAATTTAGGCCTTGGATATCTTGCCGGCTGCCAAGGGGAAAGAGAAGAAAGGGGAAGTCGGAAGCAAAAGGTCGGGGTCGGCACTGAGGCAAATAATTTTTCTATTTCGACCTTAGGCTTAGTTTAAGGCAGGGGTCAACAACCTTCTGCAGCGGCGGGCCGAGTAACCATAAAGACGACAAGGAGCGGGCCGGTCGATAAGTCGCGAACTGTGTGTGTGTGTGTGTGTGTGCGTGGGGGGGGGGGCAGAGAGGAAAGGGCAAAAAGGAAGTGAAGACGTTGCCTAGGTATGGGAAAAGAATGCCGGACAATGCCATTTGGAAGTCCTCCTTGTTCCTGACTAACCTCATTTGAAGTCAGAACTGCCGTGGGGTCATTGAGTTTGTGTGAGGAAGCGGCAAGTGTGTGTGTGTGTGGGGAGAGGAGGGGGGGGGCCCTTTTTTGCCTTTTTTGGTGCCGTACCGAGGGCCGCGTGGTACACTACCAACTCCTGGTCTAAAGTGAACTGATCAGTTCATCCATGCATCGCTGTAAGCCAAACACCCTCTTACTTGACCTGCGTAATCTTAGAAGTTTCAGAAACTAAACTATAGAAAAACACAAGTTAAAACTAGAAAGATGCAAGATTGGGGGGGGGGGGGGGGGGGGGGGGGGGCTTGGACTATTGAGTTACCTAATACCCCGGTCAGACGGGCTAATTTAGTTCCCTTCAACGGAGTGCACTTTGCCTTTAGTGTCATTTGTGTAGTGTGCCACACGGCCTCTTCCTGAAGAACCCCCAGCTTCAAGCGAGTTTGCTTCTTGTTCTTTGTCTTTTTCTTTATCTTGCCTTGTGGTGATTGATCCGAATAATCCAATTGCGTAAATATTGTCAATTAACGTAACGTTGTCTTGTAACGTGTTTTTATTAAAAAAATAGGATAGTACTCAGAAATTTAAACCTTTCACATTATAGGGGTCTAATATAGTGTTTTACCCATCGTTATTGTCATCATTTCCAAGTGACACTAATTTATCCCGTGTGGCAAGAAAACACTTGAAGTGATATTCGGTGAGCTGAAATTCACTTGTTGGAAGTGCACTGAATTAGCCAGTCCTGACAGGGGTATTAATATATCAATGCTCTCCTCGAATCTGAAATTGTCGATAAAAACTAAAGGCGAGTATATGCAGCGGCTCGTACGTATGCTCGGTATTTCTGCCGTCAACGTTCCACAGAACTATACACAAACAGAACTGCTTGACTGTCAACAGTAACAACATCTATAGTTAACGGTATATTATAATAAAAGAAAAGGCACAGCCAGTGTTCGAGGAATGCATAGCAGTGAACAGACAATGAACGATATGTTTTGGTGTGAGAGTGTATGTGTGTACGGAAGTGCACAGATACGAATGCAGATGCAAAACTGTATTATGCGGTGGACGTCACGGAAACGTCAAAGACGTGATTTCAAGAACAAGTTGGAAGTGCAAAGGTTAGGTTTAGTGAGGAACCCCCACATACCCGTAATCTTGGCATAACCCCTGGATCCTCCTGTGGGACCTATTCGGGCGGTGAAAGTTGTCACGCCTTCTCTCCTCAGAATGTCTCTTCCACCAAACTGAGTTTCGGTTTTGGGCTCTTCACGTGCTTCAGATGACGTCAGTGGTTGGCAGTTTCTTTGAGCCTGCCGGTTCAGCTTCAGTGTTGTCTTGCCTGAGATATCAAAGAAAGCGTGATGGCATGCACATAAGTAAAGCGACCTCTCCTCTAGCTTATCTGGGGCCCTTAGTCCTCTAAAATGGTAGCAAGGTTGTTCACGTGCCTTTAACCCTAATGATAGAATCCCGTTTTGAGGGACAGAGGTAGAACTGTACTTCTCACTATTTTAAAACAGTTGAAGGGTTTACAAGTTAGGGAGAAAGGCGAGTATTAACCCACATGACTTGGCAGAGATTTCCCTGTGCTTAAAGAGACACTGAAATGAAATTTAAAAAAAAAAAGCCTAGATGGGACACGTATATTAAAAAAACAAAATACCACGCAAAATAATATTTTTTTAGCAATATTTACGTCTTTAGACGCAATTTAGGTGCAGAAGGTGGAGATAGCAACCCGCTAAGCCCCGCCCCGTGCTTACACGGTGCTTACATCTCTCACTGGCTGGAGAGATGATTGACGTGTGAAAAGTTGGCTGTAAATCTGCATCTGCGTACCATAATAGTAATTTAAGGGCCTATATATTTGTGTTTGAGAAAAAATAATCAAGATAGCGTCATTATTGTTTTCAAATATATTCTTACATTGCTTCTCCCGATTTGGTTTGGAACGCTAACAAACATGGCTGTCAGCTTCTGCGGAGTGCTAAATAAGCGTAGCTCGTTGAGTTCGTCATTTTTTTATGAATGCATGTCGTCTTGAGTTACGTATGTGTTTGGAGGAAGATGTCCTCAACTGACCTAGTTTGCTGTAAACAACTGTCGCAAGTAAGCGTCTTCGGAAGCGGACTGGCCTAAGCCTAGCGTTCCATATTCACTATTTTGATCGATCAGTCTTGATGTCTTTTTTTGCGCGTGTTGATGCTGAATAAAGATGTTGGTTCCCGTAAAAGGCGGCCCCGCTGCTCTGTGAATTGTGCAACCGTCGTGATTGCAACCATGGTTTCAATGCCGAGAAGATACCTACACAGGTAAGAAATTGTTAGCGATTTGGCTGAAGGAAATCGGCCGTTCGGCTCGCATCAAGATTATCTAGGTATGTTCCCGTCATTTTGCTTCAAAAGGCAAGTATACCTAGCTCTGAAGTTTTGCAGTACACGTGGCCTGCCAAATCGAAAATGTTTATGTCACGTTTTAATTGTGCGTCACGACACTCATCCATCTTTCTCGCGGATGCAATGCAAAAAGAAAAAAGAAAAAAACTGCAAATCTATTTTTTTTTTACCGCATATCGATAGACGCTTGGAGGGAACAGTGATTTGTGCATGATGGAACGCTAGAACGCCGCTTTTATGGTGGCGTCTTGCGAGTGTGGCGAACGTTTTTAGGCGGGGGCGGGGTTACCAGACGGACGAAGGCTCAAACGGACACTGACGCGCAGCTTTCGTGCCCGCGTTTCATACGGACACTGCAGACGACGATAGACGGTGTTGGAATAGCAGACGATGCTGGAGGGTGCCGCTCGTCTGCTCGCACGACTATAAGAAGGCGGTGTCAGACGCCAGGCTAGACGCACAGGATGTTGCGAAAGGGAGATGCAAGTCTTGTTAGCGTGTTCAGTCGAGCAGCCAAGCCAATCAAACAATGTGAAACTCATGCTATCTTCATTCATTATATAAAAAAAAAAAAAAACATTCGATAAAGTCCCACAATGCCGTCTTATCCAGAAACTAAAAACACTCCAAGTAGAAATGTCCGTTATAAACTGGATTGAAAACTTCCTTTTAAACCGAACACATAAAGTTGCTATTTGCGTCTCCAGCTCGACGCTCGCCCTCCCGCGGCGGAAACGGGAAGCGCTTTAGTGAGGGTCCTCCGATTCTCCTGCTCAGCGGGCATGGCGGAACTGCTCGCGATCATGGCTCGCGAAATGTCGTTTCCGAATGCAAACAACACTCTTCACTGTCCCAATGTAGTGCTGCAGCCGGTATGGGATTGTACCTTACTGGAGAGTTTTAGTATTGCGCATAGAAGCAAACGCAAGCGGTGTGCGTTTGCGTTAGGGTTGCGTGCCCCAAGTTGTGCGTGCGCCTCATCGCCATGCGCCATCCAAGACCGCAATTTCGGACTCCGCGCACGCGTAGTGTGGAATGCGCAAAGCTAACGCAAACACACAGGGCTTGAGTTCGCTCGTATACGTAATATTAAAACTTACTACTGTTTCACCGGCTTCCAACGCCAACGAAACGTGCTGCAGTGAGCAGACCTGCAAGCAGGTAGGCGTTCCTTCGAACTGGAAAGGCTGAGATTGGCAAAACGACGGCGAACAAATACAAAAGTAAATAAATGTTATGAAAAAACTAGTAATTAAAAAAAGGCTTTTTTTAACTTTTGGGCATTTGGTCTGAAAGTATATTGGCGGCGACTTTGGACGTTTCGCCAACCGTCAAAAGTCGCGACTTTGATAGCACAATATACTTTACCCACAATTAATGTAATTTTACATGAATTTCTCACATTAGATAGAATGTTTTCATTGATTTTATAATATTTTTATTTCATTTGTAATTAAAATGCCCCAATCGGAACCAGTGATGATAATTGGCACAGTTTTCATTGTCATATTTCTTCGCGCATTTAAAATTAAATCATAAGCAACAAATTATATTAGAGCTTGAAGAATTACTTATTGAAATATGTGAATTTTAATATTATTATTATTAATACAAATCGCGGCAATGTATGCCTCTAATTAACGCCAAGATCACGAGAATACTCTATTTAATTATAATAGTCTTTCCAGAAAGGTATAACTCTGTTTTCTTTTTAGCATATGAAAAACTCTGACATAGTTATCAAGATAGACAAACAGTTAATCGCTGGATGTAATATGAAGTCCTACGCGTCACGTCGGTGCTATAAGAACACACACACACACTTCAGCTATCTGACTCGGATTCCGTCTTGGGTTGTTGCAGTGAGAGCAGCGTTTATTAGTTTATGCGTTTCGTGGACATATTGTAAAAATTGGAATTATTCTCTTAATCTTGTGCTGGGATAATTGCCATTATTTCCCATGACAATTATGTGAGCGAGAAAAAGGCAGCGAGAACGCACAGATATCAGCACAGATGTTTTCAACAACTACGAATATCAGCCTGGATCGAACAGTATGTCACAAAATAAAGTTTTCGCGAAGAACTTTTCTAAGTAAATAATTACGATGTGAGACACATCTTGAGTCACGAAAGAATCCGAAATTAAGACCTCTGTCAAGAAATTAAATCCAAGATAGAGGTAAGTTTCGGTTTCGCTCCAGAATTAAAACGCGCATCCTTCCGTAATTAATACGCTAAACACCGTTCTTGTTTTGAGGTTAAAGAGGTGACCTATGCTCATAAAACATTAGCTTCCTCGTATTACCAGAAATAATCTGTGTCGCTCACTGAAGCCAGCACACTAGACAGGCTCAACAGCGGCACGCATCACCGACCCTCACTAAACCCGCCATCTTGGAAAATGAGTGACGCCACCTATAGTTAGTTGGAGTCGCGAATACACAACATTTGTTCGTCACAGAAACTTCTTAAATCGGGAGTACCGCTGGGAACCGTGCTGGGTCCATTGTTGTTTTTAATTTATATAAATGACCTGCCATATCTTATGAACTTCACTATTAGATTATACGCGGACGACTGTGCGATTTATAGGAGGCTAATGAGTGAAACCGACTGTACCCTTTTGCAAAATGACTTGCCAATTATTCAAGTATGGTGTCAAGAATGGCAAATGGAGATCGATGTTGACAAATCTAAATGTTTTAAGTTCACTACAAACAAAAACAACATTACTCAGGTCGACTACTCACTTTCTACAATATCAACTGAAGCCGGTACATCCTAAAGTATCTTGGCATTAACTTAACCGTAACTTGTCATGGGAGCCTCATATTGACTACATATCTGCGAAAGCAAACAGAAGTTTGGGATTTTTTAAAGCGCCATCTCTATAAGGCCACCTCTATAAGGCCACGCAAGAAACAAAATTCATCGCGTATAATTCTCTCATCCGTCCTCAACTCGAGTATGCATCCATTGTCTGGAACCCCCATCAGTTGTGTTTAGAAGAAAAGGTGGAAGCTGTACTGAACCGGGCTACACGTTTCATTCTCCACAATTATCAACCTACAAGTGTTACCGCAATGGAAAACGCAGTCTGAGTTGTGACATTAAGCAATGCAAGCATGACGCTTTGCATTGCTTAATGTCACAACTCAGACTGCGTTTTTTGGTCTAAACGTATGTTTCGGCATCGTCGTTCGCTGAGCTGCCTCCGTAAGTTGCGGTGATTGGCTCTTCGAGTGTTGTACGAGAAAGTAGACGCACGGGCTACTTTTAAAGTGTTTGCCATTTTTTTAAATTTTAGTGTTTCTTTAAGTTGAACTTAAACCCTAAAACAAATTTATTTATGGCTAGGAACATTTGAGAGACACAGGTGCCTGAAGAACCTATTACAGTACTCCGGGGTATACTCCTGGATTCCTAAGAAGCCAAGTTGAGTCCATGCTCCAAGGTGACCTATGTTGATCATGGGGCAGATATCTGAGCAAAGTTTTGAATCAGCTGGAAACTCTGGACTATATAAAAATGCACGGGTTATAGGTGGGGTTTCTGGTGTTTTCGGTAAATACCGATAAACTCAGATTTTGCGTGTGACACAAAAATTAATACCGAAAAACAACAAATCTGTGATGAAAAAAAAAAAAAAAGTGTCCGAATTTGAAGAAAAATGAATTCCGAAAACGCAGAGCCTATAGTTAGTTATCTTGGCGCCGGCGCCTGGAATTAGAGGACGCGTAAACGTGGGCGCGCCCCTGAAACAATTCAAGGAAAGAATCTAGAGATAAGTGGGCTTTTGGTTTGAACCTCCAATAAGATTGTCGTGAATCAATTTCAAAAGTTAAATTGAATTTAGCGCGCTCGCATTCTCAGGCATGTATGACATCTTCAGTAGTTTTGAATCCCGATTGGGTCATTTCGAATCACGATGTATCTTCTGTTTGATGATGTTGTGGGATATGCAGAGCTTGGCCTTCCGAGTGTGGGCACGAGACATGCTCTGCGTAGTGAGTTTGGTGGATTTCGCGATCTGTGGGAATGACGCTTTTGACGTGTGACCATGAAATCGTTGAACATGTCTCTTTTCACGTAGTGGGAGACCTAGTATGCAGAGGTCCACAAAACCTAGACCGAACTTTTCGGCAACTGTCTTAATAGAACTTTTGTATGAATGTCGCATAAAACGCCACCAACAAAAGACGTGTTGTTTATCTCTTTTTTTCGTCCGTTTGTATTTGGTCAAAATTATTTCCCAGCATTTCACTTTCGTAGCTAATTGAAAGATGGGCCTGCGTCGTTCCTTGCCTTACGTGATTTTCTTTCTTTTATTTATTCGAGATTAATTTTTTTTTAAGAGAACATATCGACACCTACTTGTGCACGTTTAGAAAAGTGAAAATAAAGAGGCTTTAGTGGGATTCCCGAATTCTATGTACAGCTTACTTTTGGTCCAGTACATCGTGTGGTAAAGCACAACACCGGGCGGCTCCTGGGCCAGAGGGCCCTGAGCAGCAATGACCGTCGTTTCTCCAGCCGGGGTAATGGTCTTGTCGAATCGATCGGCTGAAATAAGCGAGACCATTAGTGGCGTCCGCAGGGTTCTGTAGAAACTGGACACCCAGCGCACTAGTGCCAAGCCAAGGCGAGTTAATGAACTCAAAGTAAACTATCGTTACAGTTCGCGGGCGCCGGTACTGATAAAAAAACGCAACTATAATATATATATATTACCCTCAGACGACTTTATTTTATATAACTCGTAATAGTTTTGTTTCGTTTTATTCCATGCATCATAACACAAAACGCCGAGAAGGGCGTCTCGGTGTTGTGAAGGCGTATAAAGGCGTTTTAATTAGCTTTGGATAATGAACTTTCTAATGAGTAATGGTAAAGTCGTCGTGGCTTCAATTTAAAACTTGCTCTTCACTGGCGATTAATAATGAGTCATTTTTTGTAAAACATTATTGCGAGTGCGGCTTTCTGCCACCTTGAAAAAACACCTTGGTTTGAACCCTGTTCGAACGCACCGTCGAGGTTTCGCTATTTGACTGGCTGGATATATTATCCCGAACAGCCAATAGAAAACCGAGAGTCCCGATACGAATTTTAATGGCTGCATCTTTTTGCTAAGATCCAATAGGACACCGAAACCGTGGTGATACGTTCAAAATTTTATGTATATTGAGAAACAGTAAAAACGCTCACGAGCTTCTGTGTCTGAAAGCGACTTATTTAGTCCTTTGGAATGATGTCCTGCCCGACTTGAATTAAACTCATGCCTTTTATTTTTACGAATAAAAATTTTAATAAAAAAAAATAGTAAACTAGAACGCCTTCGCAGGTTCACAGGTTCGTAGGCTATGTCCTTCTTTTGAGTGCGCGGTACTTAGTTTTGCAGCACAAGTCTGTCCCACGTTTTACGAAACCTCCTGTGCTTGCAACTGGTTGGTGTGTTTGTGTTATTACCATTTCTTTTTTTTTTTCTGCTGTGCGATGTATAAGGGTGGGGGGCCTTGTCAGGTAAAGTCTGTTTACCTTTTGCCCACTCACCCGTGACTCAAGAAGTCCAAATAAAGGTTATTATTATTATTATAGACCATTCCAATGATCGGCTTCTGCTTGAGCCATTTTGGTCTGCCTAGCTGGGGAATGCGTTCTGGGCATGCGCAGCAGCTCTCTCTCGTGAAATATCAGACGCGTCCACAGCTTAGAGACTCGGCAGTTTTTGCCGGGTTGATAAGCGCGTAAGAGGTGTGTTTATGGCTAATGGTCCGAACAATAAGCTACGCGACTACACATGTGTTCTGTCTGCAAGGGCTCACTTAGGCTGAAGGGCTCCCGGAAGGGTTCCTATATTATTTAAGCACTACAGAACGCAGGAGACAAAACACATACCATTCAAGCACGAAAATATGCTGAACTGACCGACGAGAGAGATCAATAACAATAGAGTTAACTAGATGGTCGGATAATGTAATCCGCTCCAAAATGTGTAGAATTTTTTAAAGTACATGCATTGTTCGAGCTAAAGGATTTCACGCATATCGCAAGCATCACAATAAAAAAAAAGTTATAATAATAAAGAGAGCAACAAGGTGTTCGTAAAAAAAATTAAAGTTTTCATTACAAAGAACATCCTTTATTCACTAAAATTGAAGTTATCTTTTATTTAAAACAATTTCGATTCTTTTTAGCGAAAGAAAGTTGAAGGAACTGCGCTATTTATTTGAACACTAGTAGATTATTGAAAAAAAAAATCATTGATAAAGCAGAGGAATTCGCCGGCAAGTGAAATATCCGCTTAATTTTAATCTAACTTAAAGCGCCTATTATCCTATAGCTACTGTCGAATTAAAACACAAACTCACTTGTGGCCAGCGGACGAGAGTAGACAACACTCAGAAGTCCGTTTTCGTATTTTGTAGACATCACGGTCAAGTCATCGGTTCCCTTCAACGGTGACTTGGCGTCGGGGCACACCCCACCACTCGTGATAGAGCACTAAGCAAAAAAAAAAAAAAAAAAAGAAGAAGAAAGAAAATTACAACGACCGTATAACTTGTGATCACTTTGGGTTTCTACTGTCATGCAGACTGCAATAGTCTGGTTATAGCCACTTTAACATTGGACACACGATACAATTTGCGACGTGTGCGACCAAAAAAGAAACGTCGCTGTGGTCGGTTTTGAATAATTGCTATGACGTTGTTGTAGGATCAAGTCTGTTTTCATCCACAGTAGTTGTAAGAGTAATGTCGCTCGTCAACTTTGACGGTGTTGGCCAAAGAACATGCATGTTGACTCGAAGCTTCATCGTGTTTTACACGCACCATCGAACTTGATGTTCGCAACTGATAATCTTAGTCGGCAGGGAACGTACTATACATACGCGTACGAACCATGAGAGGGTACCACCGAAACATCTCATTGTCCATAGCCGGAATGTACCTATCAGGAATATCACTTTCATGATGGTGTACGGATTGGCAATAGAGGAAAACTGTGGCTGCCTCTGACCAAGTTGGAACTGCAGGGCGTTCTAGAGGGTTAGATCGAGAAAAGTAAACCCGATTTTTCGGACCGCATTAATAAACTACGGATCGCAGATTTCGGAAACTCTTTGAGAATGTTTAATTATATATAAGAGCCGACGTTCAGCTGAGCCTAATATTTATCAAATCCAAATTTAAAAATTATTAGCGCCTGCAGAATTTGTTTACGTGAAAAATCTTGTCAGCAAGAAAGCAAACAGTATCGTCTTTCTAAGATTCTTTTTCTTTTTTTTAATGAAATGAATGTTACAGGCGCCCACAATCTCAAACTTCGGTTTGATGAATATGAGGCTTAGATGGATGTCGGCTCAAATAAGTTTTTCTTTTCTATTTTCTGATCCAGGTAACGTCATGTGCTCAAAAGTTCGCATTTTATCGCCACCAATAGCGTCATATTCTCACGGAGTTGCAGCTTTCTGCGATGCGTAGTTCATTTATGCGGGCCGAAAAAGCGGGGTTCATTTTTTCTATCTAACGCTGTACTGTTAAAGCCGAAAAGTGATTGCTTAAATAAGGCTAGATCTTTATAGGTAGTGTATTTGTCGTGCTCAATTTATAGAAAAAAAACATTTATTTATTTTATTAATTATACTACCAGGCCTAATTCGGACCCCCATTGTAGGAAAGGCACAAAATAAGATCAATTAAATAGTGCAACAAAATAATGACATTTCTCAACATTTTACAAACGTTGAGCATTGCCATTACTTTGTTGCTCAGCGTTTTACAAGTACTAAGTTCAAGGCAAAAGACAGTATACTGTTTATGGGGCGGATACAGCAATATAGAGCCATACTGAATAAAACTGCCATCCTGAGTTTATGATAGCGTGCTCATCCATTAGACGCGATGCATCTTTCGGGGTAAACTTCATTAGTAAAACAATCAGGCATCCTCGTAATAAATGGTGGCGGATCTGGAACGCTCGAACAGCACACCTGGATACATTCAGTACACTTGGGGCACTTTTGCAGTGGACTGACAAAAATGTGAAAGTCGCTGGATTCCGCCCACGTTGACTGGCAAGCTTGTAAATGATGTCTACTCTACCTGCGCTTTCGATCCCAAGTAGTAGTCTTCAAGCTTCACTTTGTTCGATGGACCCTCAAGGTAGACAACAGCCACGTCACCACCAATCATTTGGTTTCTGTCCTTGTCTCCGCTGATTCCAAAAGCAGCCCACTCCTTGGCCACTGCGCGGAAATGTCAACTCTGAAGTCCGTTTGTTCACTAGCAAACTTTTTTTTTCTTAAAAAGAAACACAAAACACATTCTAGTTCCTTACTGAGTTTTGTATTGAGTTGGAACAGTATTGAGTTGCTTTCTAATTTCCACGCGACTTGCAGCCTGTTCGGTAGGATAGTTTCGCAGTTCTCAAAGTCAGACCCATCGATTTGCTCCATCTGCAAGAAAATGCTCATTACTCGCAGACGCAAACAGCTCATAAGAAAAAAAAAAAGATGCTGCAATTGTTTTAATTTTATTTATTTATATGGACATTTCTCACTCCATAGCAACCACTGCGAATTTTTAATAAAAGTTTACGTCACGGATAGACTATATTGAGGTCGAGCGTCAATTCTTCAGCCATAATATAGCACAAAAATTACAATGAAAAATGAAATATTTGTATGGGTAATTAACTAATTAAGGAAGATGTGTGCATGTACAGTGAGTTAATGATTGAATGAAGATACGAATGATTGGGCTTTTCTTTATAATTCACGAAAGTACGTATAACTTTGCGTTCCTAAAAGTGGAGTTTCGAGATCTCTTTATTTTTGAAAATGGTTAGAGAAAGTGTAGAAGACAACAGAAGCAAAGAAGAAAAACATGGGGGGAGGTTATACGCGTATAGCAGAGGAAAAAAAAAAAAAAAAAAAAAACCTCTGCGAGCAAACACATTTGAGTGAAGGCTTCAGAAAATAATTACCTGCTTTGGTGTCTCTAGAAGTTCCATTGGAGGCGGTATATTTGGATTCTTTGGGATCGTGACACTGATGAAGATTTCTGTGTACGTTATGCAGTAGACGGCGAACCAGTCAATGTCGAACATCGTTAGCTCGCCAGGAAGTGTAAGGGTCAGATCCGCGTGGCTGTAGCCATGTATCACCGCGACGCTGAAATTGAAGACGTAACTTAGGGGGCGATTTGTATTTATAGGCATTTGAAGTAAAACTTGTTGTCCAAATTATACTGCGCAGATTGTCGTCGAAGTGCGATAGCATTTTGCAGCGCTACGTAATTTTTACTTAATTAAAATACTTAGGGACTGCTATGAAAATTCTAGGAGCATTTTTCGTCGGTCGGCGTCCATGAAGTCTGCCGTCATTTTTAAAACCAGTATGATTTGTATACCAGAGAGCTCTTATGACGTCATATTAGTACGCGTCCGCCACATCGATGCCCATGGCCAGCACCGACGAAGCACTTCCTATTGCGGAAGATTGGGGGAGGCGTCTAGTGAGTATATCGCAGTCCCGCAAACATTGCCGGAAGTGGTATGATTCGGGGCCAGAGCTGCCGTTGAATGATCACGGCACGTAGCGGAAGCCAAATCTCGCGAGGGCGGCCATATGGATGTCGGTGCCGATAAAACTTTCGTTATGTCTCTCTTGCTTGAATTCGTCTGAAACGTTCCGATTATTGTTTCTATATTCTAAAAACAAAAACAAAAAAGAGTTAATTTTAGTTTGTTTATAAGGAATGAAACGTGTACATATAAGTCATTTGCATCACTTTTTAGAAAAAGGTAATGTGACACTAGTTCCGGTTTCGTTTCGGTTTCAACTGTGTCCCTTGACGTGCATCTCAAGTGGGGTTCTTAGGCCTATGTACCGTGTAACACCGGACAACTTAGTTGAGCTCAATGACAGTTCAGAAATGTCAACAATCGTTGGCTCAATTACAGTTGAGGGCGCTAGTATAACTAGGGTATTATGAGTATACTATTTTCGCATTGCTTTTTGCCCAGGGGTAGCCAGTTATTTTCTCCTCTAAGCAGTCCTTACCGTCCGTTTTCATCGGGAACTTTGGTACCTTGCGGGTTGGGGCTTCCTTTCCCACACAGGAAAAACGCGTCTAGAAGACAAGGAACAGAACAGGTGGCTACATAGTGTATTCCAAATTTTGAAATATGTATCTCTAGGTAGTGCTGGACATCGATTAAACGTTTTAACCGGCCAATTAATGACTACCCTTTAATTGATTATTAATCGAATAATCGGTGGCGTTGACCTCGAAGAATAATTTCTAAAATATTAAAAAAACTGCATATTGTTTTCTTTTTACTATTTTCTACCATGCCATCCACGATGGAATGCGCGCATTTAAAATCGATGTTGTACCGTCCATAAAAAAAAAACACAAAAAAACACAGGTTGTACATTTTAAAAACAAAATATTTTTACAATATTTTTTTAAGCCTGATAATCACTCTGGATAATAGGGAATATTAAAGTATTTTACCGTAGAATACACCAGTGTTGCTTCGTAGAATGTATATATATATATATAGGCATGAAGTTGTAACGCAACCATTTTTACTCTGTCCCCGAATTTGTGCTTTAAAACTCAACTGATTATTCGGCCAAGAAAACTGATCGTGATTAAAGGATTAATAGATTAATCGATCGTTTAATCGATCCCTTGCACAGCCCTCCTAATTACCTGGTGCAGATCCATCGTAGGAGAAATCCTTCAGGAAGAGAGTTTTCATGTCCTTCAGTATAACCTCTCCAACGTGTGTTCTATGAGCGCCGGACAAAGATGAACCAATGCTTCTTTCTCTGGGGTAGTCGAAGTCGCTTGGAATGGCGACCTCACCCAGACTCATCTGCAATGATTTGTTTGTTTTCTCGCAACTACAAGAATTGATATCACTCTAGCCAATGGAAGCTTGTGTCAACGTACCTCTGCGTCCTTGCGGTAGACGCTGAACCACCTATAATCGGTGACGACCTTATCTGATGGCAACTTTAGCACAATTGTCTTGGAACTGTATGCGGAGAGTCTCGCAGTGCTGAAAGGACATACTTGTTAATGTAATTTGACGAAAAGAATATGGCTCATTACCGTTTTATTTTAATGTAACTCCCCCATTTGATGAAGGCCCACAAATCTGCTTTCCAACACAGTGTGTAACGAATCAGTTAGTAGAAGCAGACAAAGGGCTTAGAATGCAGTTCAGAAATTCATTGACTACAAAAATGTAATCTGGATTTCATTCCCGCTTTAAAAAACGGCGCATTCGGTACGCCATTGTTTTAGAGAAAATCATAGCCCTGCCTCGTCATTCGCGAGGTACTCTTCTATGACTCGCCAGGAGCGTGTTTATTTTCCAAGAGCTCAGTAGGAACGTAGATACGCGAGCCTTGTTTATAAAGGGTGCGGGTAATGATTGTGAAATAGGTTACTTCGGATATACGAGACCATGATTCCTTGTGAGCAAGGAAGACAGACGTGCTAACCTTCCAGCCTCGTTTCTGAGAACTATGCCATCTTTGGAAGGTTGGCTAGAAGTTCCCACCATGAAGAAGGCGTCTGTGAGCAAAAACAAAAAAAAAGAATTCAAGTCAATGTTAAATCTCTTCCAATTATACCGGCCTATACTCCATCTCACAAACAGCCCTAGTGCTGACAAGGGCACGAGCGCGAGAGCCTGGCTTTGAAAAGTGCCTTCTAGGCGCAAGTTCTCGTACAAAGAAAGCATGTTGCTGATCTAGGCTCATGCGTCTCTACCTCTGTCTGCTCTATAGACACTTTTGAGGTAGTAGAGTATAAAGCCTTGTCTGTGCGACATTCATATGCCTACCAGGAGCTGTGCCATCGTAGCTGAAGTCTTCCAGTATCAAAGCCTTCCCAGAGCCAGCGTAGAGAGTGCCGAAAACTCCATGTTTTCCGGCACTCAGATCTCCAAGTTTCTTCCCCAAATAGGTCTTCTGCTGCCCTCTCGACTCGAGTGCTTTCCAGCCTTCTGTGGGAACGGAACGTTTTTGGCATAAGGCGACAACGCGACGGCGCACCATCCCAGCGCCAGTGTCAGTACTCACAAACAGTGAGGAGTTTCAAAGCGGTCAACACAATTAAGTCAAAAAGACAAACCTCCCGCGGGGTGGGAAGCAGTAAAGGTGAGCAGGATGAAAACGAAGAGAGCCAAAGCAAGCACAAAATAAGAAGGGCGTGTTGTCACAGCGGCACCTGTAATGCAGCAAAGCGCGAAGCATGCTTTATGCGTTGTCAGACCATGCAGGAGCAAAAGGAAAGAAATAGAACAATGGCGCTTCTCAGCACGACATTCACACCGACAGCCACATCCATGCTTCTGGTACGTTAAGAAAGCGTTAACGCCTAGTGCCAACTGTCTCTTTCTTAGTGGCAGCAGCGAAAGCCTGGCGCGTTATTCACGTCTGGTTTCGGCCAACATTAAAAATAAAAAGATGCGATTCCTAGCGGGTCATCATGCATTCTTTCTTGAATCAACCATGGTCTTTTTATTTTGAATGCCTCAGTTCCTGACGTAACGGCCATTTCTGCAGTCTTTTAAATTGTGGGCGAGACAGAGGGAAAATTCTAACAAGTTATTAATATAATACACAAATAAGAGAAGAACATAGAAGACCAGGACGGACAACGCCTTGTCAGTCCTCGCCTTTTACGTTCTTCCCTTATTTATGTTTTACCCCTAAAGCACGCTCTCCATTCCAAGTATAGTATATAGTATTTGTTTTTGATTCGAACGTATTTCTTTTTAACGAGGTGACTGGTACATAAATGCCACCTTCACTGCATCTGTATTGGGCTTGGCGTACGTTAGATGAGAGGATAACCGTCACGATCAGAAGGTTACTGAAGTCTCTTAATTAAATTTTCTACTAATGATTCGATGCATGGTGTGTCCACTGCAGTAATCACAGCAACCGCTTTTAGAGGATAAACCATTTTCATGATTATCTGAAAAGAGAAAGAACTTTCAGATATTCGTCGGTGAGTTTTCATGTTACTGTCACCAGATTACAAAACTCGATGCAGAAGAAAAAAAAAAAAAAAAAAAAAAAAAAAAAACGCCGGGACTTTGTGCGCAATTATGCGTCGAAGAGAGAGGTTCTCGTTTCCGTCACCCTGGTCACAGTATTGGCAACGTGCTGTCGGCGCATCCAGGAAGGGGCTGCCAAGATAGTGATGACGTGACTGAAATGACTGCGCCGCTCTTCTAAGCGTCATCAGAAGCGTAGAGGGCGCTTTTTGTTCAGTTTTGAAATCAGGCGACACACGCGCAAAAACGGACTGACGAAGACTCGTTGCCTTTTCGCAAATTGTTTGAATTGATTGAACCTTTCAAGATGTATTGCCCTTAAAACTACAATTGCAATATGGCCCATCTAATCATTAATTACGAAGTTAATGAGCAGATTATAACTAATTACTCTATAGATCGTGACGGCGATCCTCCCATTTAATATCCACTGAACCCGATACACATGCAGTGAATACGGTACTCTCCATGATACCGGTCAGCCCAGACTTACCAGATCGGAAAGTGGTCGCGAAACCAAACTCTAAATAAAATTTCACCAAAATAAAAACAAAATCAAGCATTCGCGTTCGGAATATATGATTTAGGAATAACGTAAAAAAAAAAAAAAAAACAATCAGCTTTATGAGCACATTGCTCATCCAACTCGACGACACGAAACTACATTGAAACGAAACGGACCAGCGTAGCACATATGTCACTGTGTTTGTTGCAATGTCCTTTTAAGTAAAAAAAAAAACAAAAAAAACATGTTTGCGCATAGTTAGTGCACTGCGCGAATAAGTTCTTACAAAATCTGGCTGGCAGAAGAAAACAAATTCCTTACGTTTGAAACATCTACATTTCAATAGAATAACAAACGTATATTGCAAGCATACACAAAAATATTGTCGCCATAGGGCCGGTCGGAAGGCCATCCACCGACTGGCGTGTCACCATTATGCGTGCTCCCTGGTGGTTGCTTTCACGTAAATTATTTTTCTTCATCTGACCTCTTCAACTTGTGGCACCGGCACAGCTTTCAGTTGCTTGGATCACGAGGCATTTTTCCTCAGATTTCACCAATCTTTGTCCGGTGTCGTGGTTCACTGACTAGGACACCGAACGCTCAAGAATTTCACCAGAGTTCCAAAATCTGGTGCCAAATTTCACCGTGCGGCCTCACCTTGGCAGCACCCCCCCTCCCCCCCCCCCCCCCCCCCCCAAGACACACATACACAGTTTTTACAGCGAAGCTGTATATGACTCGCAGATCGGATTTCTGGACTTTCTTCGTGTCGTCGTCCTCACGGGAAAAAAAACTTCAGTGATTGAAGTGCAAAGTGCCTATCACGCATACAACATACAGCACAGCATTGGTTTCATAAAGAACAAGCACAAAACAAGCATGCGAACCAGATAATTGATGATAAGGCGCTCCTGATAACAATGCGAATCCCGTATGCTCACCGCATACGTTTCTCGGTAAAGATACTGTTGCAGAAGCTGCCGCGGCGACGGCAGCTTGCGATGTGGAGTGTGACTTAACTAGCCTTTCATATATAAGAAGTTTTGGTGCAGTGCATTTACTTTTCTCTCGCAAATCATTTGGTATAGACCCTTTTGCTGTTTGCATGCATGAACTGCCTTCAGCGTCCCAAGCGACTTCCGGTTGCTCCGTCTTTGCAAGCCTGTCGAGCTTGGTTGTGTCACCAGTGCTAGAAACCATAAATGCTACACGTACATCAAAGTTGGAGATTGAACGAGAGCCCTCGGCTGGACAATTTAACGTCTTGGAGGCGGCAAGTTAGTTTACAAGAATATTTAAAACATTTTACCAGATCTCGCGTTTCTTCGTTTTTTTGGCGTTCACCTGGAAAATTGGTGGTTAAACGTTTCATCGACATTTCAACCAGCGGTGTTAAGGCCGGTTCAGACACTTGCGTTTGAGTGCGTTTGACTGCGTTGCGTCGAGAACCGAAAGCGAGTCACCGGCACATCTGTGCTTCGTATGAAGCGTGGAATCCAATTCAAGGAGTCATCTTGGCACGCGAGATAAGCAGCAGGGATGTCCTGGTTTCTCGCTGCCGCAACGCAGTCAAGCTCAGTCAAACGCAACTGTCTGAACCAGGCTTTAGGGTGGGGTTTGTTCATTCTTTTTATGAACCGGAAGTTGTCTGGGACGTCAAAGACTGGAGCACCGCTTGGTGGCGTTTGCCATGAAAAGGGTCTATAGTGCAGTGTGCAATCGTTGCAGGTGATACCCCAGCTTCGCTGGCTAACCACCTTCACAGCGTGGATTGGAGTCCCGAATTTTTAAACCTCTTTAGGAATAAAAAAAAAACACTTTGTACTGAAGTTGACTAAAGTAGAAGTTTGGGCTAGTTGGTATTTCATGGTTAAAGAATAAAACAGCGCAAGGACACGGACAAGAACAAGAAGGTAGACAAACAAGGAGCCTTGTTTGTCTACCTTCTTGTTCTTGTCCGTGTCCTTGCGCTGTTTTAAACTTTGTACTATCTGGGAAATATGAAATGCAAACAGAGGAGCGCGTGGCTCGCGGTACAGGCTGCGCCGCCTGGAAGTGAGCTATAGGAGCGAGGGTGCGTGGCCTACTCCGACGTGTTCACGCCCCTCCCTCTGCGCTCCCCAAGCTTCAGCAGTGCGTTTCCCAGTGCGCTGAAAGCTATCACAGCTATCTTTGCTGGCTCAGCGCGTGCGGTGCAAAGAAGCTCGCCGCACTCGCCGAGCAGGCAAAGATAGCGGTGACAGCTTTCAGCGCACTGAGAGGCGCACTGCTGAAGCTTGGGGAGCGCAGAGGGAGGGGCATGAACACATCGAAGTAGGCCACGCACCCTCGCTCCTATAGCTCACTTCCAGGCGGCGCAGCCTGTACCGCGAGCCACGTGCTCCTCTGTTCGCATTTCATTTTTCCCCGATAGTGCATATATTTTATTTTGTCTTGATGCGCAAATTCTACTCGGCAAACAGTTTTGAACCACGGTAGTTCATATCAAGTTCAGAGATTCATGCAGCTTGAGCGAACGGCCAGTAACTGGAACTTATTTAACCTTTTTTAAGAAGGGTTCTGCACATGGAGGCGCAGGGCATCTTCACGCAGCGACCTAAGCTCGCTCTACGAGTCGCGTCCGGAAGGGAACTTGCGCTACCATTCCTGTCTTTTTTTTTTCTTTATTTGTTTTGCGGATACTTTTCCGCATGGGAAGCAGAGATAAAGGCACAGGTGCCTGACGGAGCCTTTGCCCCCCCCCCCCCCCCTCCCTCACAGTTAACCCGTGGCAGATAAGGTAGGAGTGCCATATACAACAACGAAGCAACAAAGCAGAACTAATATACAGATTCCGGAAGCCGCAATCACAGGATCGCACAAGCCAAGCAAACCATCAATAACAACAAAAAACAAGGCAACAAAACAGAGTGAAGATTAGATTATACACGGGCAATCAGCTAAAATAGTAAAACCACAAGCGTCACACTTCACATTAGTAACGTCATTAACGTTGGTCATCAGCAAAGTAATGCATGATCTACACGAAAAAAAAAAGTACATTCAGGTAGGTTACTAGTATAGAGCTTTGACCAAGAAAAAAGAATGGTCTAAATCCATACACATAGAGATCACGAATAAGATAATTGCAGATACCAGAAAAGAAAAGGAAAACTTCACAATGAAAATGTAATAGCAGCACCAACCAGAAGCGTTCTGCATTTACTTTTGAATTTATAGAAATTGTATTATAGTGTAGGCTCATATCTGTGTTTAAAGCTTTAATTTTTGAAAAGTTAAAGTTTGTCGGCCATAATTTGTTCTTATGGTGGGCATTTTTATCTTTGAATCTCGAAACGTATATGTGCTCACGCTATTTGTTAGGGTGCCGTTCGTTCTTACGTATCCATTGTAACAGTTTAAAGTAGTAAGCTGGTCTGCCTTGAGCATTATATTTTACAGAGAGTGACTATGTGCTTAAATGTCTTTTATCACCTCCATATTTTTCACATATAAGTAGTCTTTTGTAATATAATTATTTTACTGTAATTCGAAGCTTCCGTTGTTCCCCCAGACCAATATACCATAACTAATTTTAGAGTAAAACAAGAAATAGTAAAACATTTGTTTTCACCAGATAGGTACTAAGTTTTGTATTTTATATAAGCTGCCAGTAACTCGAGATAATTCAGTTTTAAGTTTATTAACATGAGTATCCCACGATAGGTCCTCAGAAAACCAAACACCCAAACTTTTTTGATGTCTTACTTGCTCTAATAAGGTGTCATCAAGCGTTAAATTGATAGAGCTGCAATCTCGTTTATTTACTGGTCTAAAAATTACATACTTAGTTTTACTTGTATTTAAACTTAAACGATTGATTTTTAGCCAATTTGATAGGTTCACGAGTTAGGCATTTGCAGAATTTTCTAAACGCTTTTTTGTAAAGCCAGAGAAAAATACATTTGTGTCGTCTACATACATTATTAACTGAGGATAACCTGGTATATTTGTTATATCATTAATATATACAAGGAACAACACAGGCCTCAGGATAGAACCCCGAGGAACGCCGTTTTGTATTTTCATTCTCCTGAACGGAGGAGGCGGGAGAGGTAGCGCAACTTCCCTTCCGGACGCCAGTCGCACTTCAAGCTTTCGCCGCTAGGTGTCGCCTTTCTGTGCGCTTTATGTGAAAAAGGTCAATTGCATGCGTGAGCATCTGAACTGCGTAGACAAAACGTCCCGTTTTTTTGCAAATTAAGCGGACTTTATATGCACCCGGCCACCATCATGGTGGCAGACATGAGTAGCCTTCAAAGACTCGTTGTGAGCGCTCAGAAAATTTTCGTAGCTGATTGGCAAGATAATTCTTCATACTCATGCAGTCACGGCACCCAGAAGCATCAGGCACCAACGTTCACGTGGACTTCTCACCGAACGTAGTTAATTTTACACCCAGCTCGATGTTCAAGACGACGTTAAGCTCATATACCGTTGCCTTCGCCGTCTGTCATTGGCATCTTTTGTGCCTGAAGATTAGCTCGAGCTGCAGAATCATCCGATTCCTCTTTGGAAGGACTAATACTCTTTTTCTCTTCGCGTTCGACTGACAATATTTTGTTTTTCTTATTTTCAGTCGAACGTCCCCAGTAGGAAATATTCCTACTGGGGAAAAGATATTCCCCACATTCCACCAAAGCGACGTCTGGGTGAGAACTCAGTGGTGATTTCTTGTCATCGACTGAGTCGCCTGCACTCACCCGAAAAAGGGGAAAATGAGGCGGTAAAAGCGGCAAACTGGCCTTACTGCATCGCGGGATTTCAAAGAGATGATGTTTCACCGGCTGTTTTCACTTTCTCATCTTGAACTTTAAGTTGGTCTACAAAAATCAGCGCTTTGCCATGTCTGCAACTCTTACGGCAATTATCGTTTGGCATGGGGTAGTTTTAGGGGTACCTGTAGGCATTGGAGCAACCTTCGTGAAGTTTAGAGGAATGGCCTTCGAAAAGTGGGGAAAATTCACGGTGGCATGAACTTTCTGGTTGTGGAGGGACATGACTGAGAGCCACTCGTAGTTTGCCCAGGCGTCACCCTCAGACAGTGTGAGGGTTATGTTCTTGTTTTTGACCTCCGTGATGGGGGAAAAGCTGGAAGAAAAACAAATTAGAGCGTTTAGTCGGGTCTGACAGAGAAGGCGAAAAATGGCCACATTTAAACACTCATTCAGAGTAGATACAAGCCACATCAGCGGGTCATACCAGGGGACAGGGGAGGCAAATAAAGTTTGAACACAAGGTGTTAGGGCTGATTCTATGAGATGAGAATAGCGTTGTAAGAGCCCGTCTAAATATAAAAAAAGAACTCACACTGCAGCCAAATTTAGCAGAACGGAAGTCAGACCAAATGTAGGTAAATTTAAAAGGTTGCACTAATTAATTAAAATTGATCCATATTGATGCTTAGTTAAGTATATGACGAGAAATATACGCGTCCTACCTCTGCACACTCTGTTCTCGCGACTTGATTGTGCAATACCAGAGCATGCATTACTCCCAGGCAAAGAAACTACTGAGTGTTTACTTTCCACAGTGAACAATACTCTTCGATGAATTGAGCCCAGCGGATGACGAAACAAACACCGTTTACGCACGGAAACTGACATTTTAGTGTTCCGATCACTCCAGCGACGATTTAATTTTTAGCTATAGTTTTTTTTTTTTTTGTACCGTCATTCACTAACCGCCTTTTGCAAAAAAAGTAAATAAATTATAATTATTTTGTTTTATTCAATAGCAAGATACAATAATTCTAATAATTGTGCGGCAGCAAGGTAGCGGTGACAGCAGCAATGCATTAATAACTGGCGATCTAAATCGTATGCAACAACCAGCATTACAAAACAAGTATCAAGTGGAGAGGTAACCAATTACTAGTGTAATATAAATTAATTTTCAACATTCAAAACTACCAGTGCAGGAAAACATTTGTCAGAAAGAATTAGAATAAATATAGGAGGGTTCAGAATTTAAAGACACTGAAGAAGGGCAGAAGTTATTTTGAGACTACCAACACCACATTGAGAAGACGAAAAACTCGACTCGCATTCACCTCAGGCACCAGTTTAAGAGGTCCGTCTCCTCGCGGAACGTAACTGATTTCCCCCTCATGTGTTGATTTAAAATACATGTAGGTGGCGTATAGATTAACTTTAGTTTTCAAACGCCAAAAGCATCGTTTCTTCCTTCGACAACCAAATATTGTAAGAACTATACTTCGTGCAACGCATGAATAAGGCGCACAACTTCCTTTTTGTCCCGATGTGACGACGAGGATAGCTGCGTTGATATTTCTACTGTGATTCATATTAAGGCCCGTTTACACTCCTGCAACCGAGTAAGACCGAGAGAGACCAGACTGGTTTTTAAGCCTTTTGCGACTTCTTAGGACCGGATGCTCTGCAGCGGAGCTGGTCCTGAGAGGTCGCAAGAGGCTTAAAAACCGGTCTGGTCTTTCTCGGTCGTACTCGGTTGCAAGAGTGTGAACGGGCCTTTAGAGTCACTTTTTTACCAGAAAGTGTTTCTCTCGTGAAATTTCTGAACTTCACACATAAACCTCATAAAGTATCACCCAGAGGCGTCACCAGGGTCAGCGGCAGCGAGGGCGATAGTCCGCGGCGACCCCCCACCCCCCACCCCCTCCCCCACAGTTCAAAGTAGAACGTGAATATGCGTCAAGATTGTAAAATCATTTTTCCACACTTAACAAAAAATCCAAGAGTAGATCCCTTCTAGCAAGTTTGAAAAAGATGACAAAGGCGAGAAATAGAGTACCAACAAAATTAAAAGTTGACTCAAGCGTACTGAATCAAATTCAAATACAAGAAAGAATAAAACATAAAAACGGACAAAGAAAGCATAATTGGTATAATCAAAACAAATGTAATCAAAATTAATAAAAACACGATCTTCAACGTTTTTCCACAGTTTTGCTTTCACACACGTGAAAAATATAAAAAATGACTTTACAAATTAACTAAAAAGCAGACACATTCGTAAAAAATATGTAAAGTATCAACTTCTGTTTACTTTAGTTTGTCCGTATGTTCGGTTTTCTTGTGTCGGGCCGGAACGTATCCCCTTGACGTCCGGAAAAACGATTTGGAGGACCTTGGACAGTAGCCGCCTCGGTGGCTCCGAGGCGAGAGCGCCGGCCTACGGATGTGGCGGGTTCGAATCCCGGCCTAAGTGCCCCCAATCTGACGGAGGCTTATCCCGGAGAAGGCGCCGTGTAACCGGACTTTCGGTTGCACGTCAAAAGATCCTCAGGTGGTCGGAATTAATGCTCAGTCCTCCGCTGGGGCGTGCCAGAAGCCCGTCGTTGGTTTGGCACGTAAAACCTCCAAATTTGACTTTTCACCTCGGGCAGTGTGTCGTTCTAGTTGATAACCAAGTTTTGAAGGCAAAGCACTCAGCGCAGGCAATCATAGCTGCATCAAACAATTCTGTCGCTTCTTTTTTTTTCTTATTACTGATTCATGGCCGCTGCTTGTGTTGGTTTTTGTTGTAATGACTTTACTGTTGAACATTTAGTTTCGAATATTTTCTTGTTGCTTTTGCGTTTCATTATCGGAATTCACGAGCAACGTCTACGGTATCTTTTTTAAATATGTATATATTTTTCATTATTTTTTTTCGCTCGGATAGACATTTTCCGTGTTGAGCGTTACTTGTCGTTTTTGGTTACTACCGCATGCGGTGTTTCTTCTTTTTACGCTGGATGAATGTAACGGATATGATTGCACGACGCAAAGTTTAATCCGCGAAGTGTTCATGATTATTGAGCCACAGTACGACACACCACGGGTTCTTGAAATTTAGTTTTTGTTTTATTCTTGTTGTTTCCCTTTTTTTTTCTGTAGTAATGCGTTTGGGGGGGGGGGGGGGGGGGGAGACTTGTAGAGTTGGACTGCCCGTTTTCACACACAAGCACACATGTGCTTAAGTGAGACGATTCTGGAAAATGTATTTTTGAAAGAAACCTGGAATAAACTTGGTGCTTAACCTAATGTATCAGCCAGCATCAAAAGGGTTTTACACAGCTTTGGAATGCCTGCTGAATGCCGTCTCCACCACACCAACAGGAATGGTGTTGAAGCTGGACTCAAGCAAGGAAAAGGCAGGGTATTTTCGTAGAAGAAAACCGTCCTAGATTCTGAACTCAACACCATCTCCACCAAGGCAACCAGGGTGGTTGCTACGAGCATAAACTTTGTATAATAAAACCGTTCGTGGAAGCATAATTTTTGGATAATAAAACCATTCGCGTGCTCGCAAAAATTTTCTTCTTTGACTGTTTTTTTTTGCTTAGACACTTCTTGAAGACGTATGTAAACTTTGTAGAATTGAGACAGAGTAACGATAATAATCCCTAGATTTCAAGGGATTATTATCGTTATTCTTGTCCAGCTCACTTGCACCTTAGCATTAATTGCATTATCATCATGAGACAGAGCATTCACTTAAAACAAAGTATATACGTCAACAAACGGTGAATATAGGACTGCAAACACCAAGAGGCATTTATCTGTCTATTTTAGGCAGAAGAGCCGTGATCTGGTTTGTAGTCGGTAACAGGATAAGAAATCAGGGCGAGGGGAGGAAGGGCGAGCACTAGCAACACCGCCAAGACCAGAAAGCCGTACATATTTCAGGATTTCCCACGTAATCTACGACCACGACTTGGTGTAGCACACACAAAAAAAAAAAAAAATTCTTCATTGGATTGGACAAGCCACAACACCAGAGTGCCTTTGCTGTGACGTCGTTCAAAATTCACCACGTATTTTGTGACATCTACAAAGCAGAAACAAAAGAAATAGAATACACGCTGACATGCCAGGTTAACCGACCTTTCTCTGTGGCGAAAATACTCGGCAACTGGGACAATCCGTGCAAGAAGGCCGAGGCAACTAAATCACTCGTATGCTTCCAAAGGAAACACAACTGGACTTTGGGCTGTAGACGATGAACCCTTGTGTTTTCAAACAGTGTCGCGATTATAGCGACCGAAACTGATAATTTTTACGGTTCTCATTATCTCGTTTTTTTCCCCCTTTTTCTCCTTTAATCGTCATATCTCCCTCCCCCCAGGCAGAGTAGCTAACCGGGACAAACAAACCAGGTTAATCGCCCTGTTTTCCTATTGTGATTTTTGTTTTTCAACACCTCAAGCCGATTTTCGAGCGTCTCTCTCCCGGAAGACTGCTGGCAAGCAAACTGTCGTGTATTATTGTGCAGTCCTTGGTTTTCCAGCGGAACTGTGGTCACTTGCCTATTGGTTGTAAAAACGATTGCCACCAATTTCTTTTCAACACTTCTTGGAATTTTGAGCTTCAGCAGTGAAATTTCTCTAGACAATATCCAAACGAATGACTGGTGTTTGGTTTCGAGAGAAAACTGGTAGCTCAACGTTTTCTCGCTCTTTACAATGTCAGATATATACTCTTAGGGTTGCCAGTTCGGAATCTGTACTGTATTCCTTGGCACCATTCCACCCTTGCCTGGTTTTGAGTTTCCGTCGGATTTTGTGGCACCCAAAGAGATAAAACTTGTCAGACAAACGTGCTCATGAAAAATCGCCGAAACACTCGGAGAACTAATGTTCAGTGACCCTTCGATATTACCATCAGTCAGCCGAGGATCCTCATTAATGAGCCTCTCCACAGCAGCGTTGTTCTCTTCGGTCACAGCTGTTGAAAGTCTGCCAGTGCGCTTGTCGCCTTTGATGGAGGTGCGGCCCCACCTAAATTCACCGAGCCAACACAAAACTGTTGAACGTGATAGTGTAGTGTCCCCAGAAGCATACCTCAACCGTTCCAGTGATTTCGACTCACTTAAACCACTTTTGAAATTGTAACGCACCACCGCTCTAAAATCTCACCTCTCGATGTTCAACACCGAAGTCAAATGAGGTGTCCGCAGCTGACACAAGGCGGCATTGTTGCAGACAATGAAGGGCTTTTTTTTAACCTACTAGTTGCGAAGGACTCTTCAATTCCACCACACTCAATTATTTTCTCTTTATTTCCATCGCTGTTTGCCACAATTCCAAACCCTTGTAGTTATATACGTGCAGAGTAATAGTAATC